CGACTTTTGATGGCTAAGGCGGGACTAGAACTCAGTATCTTCTAGGGATTGTCTCAAAAATCACCCAGCTGGTTTTGAGGGCTAAGGCGGGACTATAACTCCTCGTCTCCTGGTGATTGGCCCAAATCACTGTGACAGGGTTTGTTTTGTTTTTTTGCCATGGGTGTTCAGTGAATAACTGCAATTAAGTGAATCACATGATTATTAAGCAAATCTGGCTTCTCTTTCCCCCCCCCCCCCTTGACTTCCCACCTGGGAATCTTGCAAACGGTGATCACATGACCCCAGGATATTACATCCATCTTGAAATGCATGCTGGTTGCCAAGCATTTAAATGTTGATCACGTGACTGTGTGTGTGTGTGTGTGTGTGTGTGTGTGTGTGCTGCCATGAGTGTAAATGTGGAAAACACGTCCATAAGTCAATCTTTGTCCGTGACACTGGAACTTTGAATGGCCCTTAAGTGAACGGGTTGTAACTTAATATATTTGAATCATTACAACAGATTAACAGAGTTGGGAGGGACCTTGTAGGTCATCTAGTCCAACCCCCCACCCAAGCAGACCCTACACCAGGAGTGGGCAATTGTGGCTCTTTTACAACCTGTGGACTTCAACTCCCAGAATTCCTGAGACAGCTTGCTTGGCTGTCTCAGGAATTCTGGGAGTTGAAGTCCACAGGTTGTAAAAGAGCCACAATTGCCCACCCCTTCCCCATACAACATTTCTGACAAATGGCAGTCCAATCTCTTCTTGAAAGCCTCCAGGGATGAAGCTTCCACAACCTCCGAAGGCAACTTCTGTTCCACAGATTGATTGTTCTCACTGTCAGAAATTTTCTCCCTATTTCTAGGTTGAATCTCTCCTTGATCAGTTTCCATCCATTATTCCTTGTCTGGCCCTCGGGTGCTTTGGAAAATAGCTTGACCCCCTCCTCTCTGTGGCAGCCCCTCAAATATTGGAAGACTGCTTTCCTATCTCCCCTGGTCCTTCTCTTCACTAGACTAGCCAGGCCCAGTTCCTGCAACCGTTCTTCATATATTTTTATCCTCCAGTCCCCTCATCATCCTGGTTGCTCTTCTCTGCATTCTTTCTAGAGCCTCAACATCCTTTTTATAGTGTGGTGACCAAAACTGGATGCAGCACTCTAGGTGTGGCCTTACTAAGGCTTTACAGAGTGGTATTAGTAACTCCCTTGATCCTGATTGAATCCCTCTGTTCATGCAATTTAGGATTGCGTTGGCTTTTTTGGCTTCCGCCGCACACTGTTGTTTCATTCTCGTGGGGGAAGAGAAGACGGTTACAAACTCCGGGCCACCAAATTTGAGAGATTGGGGTAATCTGATTTTCAAGATCCCGTCGGGTAGGATTCCTTTCCTTGGAATCTGTCTGTCTGTCTGTCTGGCAAGGGAGTTGTGGCAATTTGAAAATGCTAATGTAAAGGAGAATATTTTGCAAGCTCAGGGTTGAAAGGAGGGCTCCTCTCTCACCGCAACCGTCAGAAGTACACACCAGTTGCCAAGCCTCTGGAGTTTGATCCCGTGGCCGCAGGGAATGCTGCCACGGTCGTACACGTGAAAAGGGGGTCACGGTTATCAGCACCGTTGTAACTTCAGATGGTCACCAAAGTAATGATTGTAAGTCCAGGACTACCCGTAGTCTTCCTCTCTGCCCTTCTTATGTAAAATAATTTCATGGTGTGTGTGTGTGTGTCTCTCTCTCTCTCTTTTACACCTCTTGTGTTCAGGAGGCAGCAAATCTAAACGAAACGCCAGGCCGAACATTTGTGTTTTTGTTTTTCCTCCCCGAACATCTGAGTCACACACAGCTTTTTCCCTGGCTCATGCTGCCTCCGGTGTTTGTGCTGTCGAAAACTGCTTAGTCACACCGTGGTGTGTGTTGTCGTTCCCCCTTCTCCTCCTCCTCCCTTTAGAGTTTGGATCAAGCTTGGAGGGGGAAAAAAAACAACCCCTCGATTAGCAAGATCGAGATAGCGCTAGACTGCCCTCAGCATATGAATTTGGAAGGGATGTCCGGTGTTTGTGTGTGAGAGAGGGAGGAGGAGGAGGAGGAGGAGAGAGAGATATAGAGAGGGGGGAGAGAGAGAGAAGGAAGAGGAGAAAGAAGAAGAAGAAAGAGAGAGAAGGAAAAGAAGGAGGAGGAGGAGAGGAGAGAGGGGAGAGAGAGAAGGAACAGAAGAAAGAAGAAAGAAGGAAAAGGAGGAGGAGGGAGGAGGAGGAGAGAGAGAGGGGGGAGAGAGCGAGAGAAGGAGAGGAGAAAGAAAGAGAAGGAAAAAGAGAAGGAGGAGGAGGAGGAGAGATGGGGGAGAGAGAGAGAAGGAAGTGGAGAAAGAAGAAGAAGAGAGGGAGAGGAGGGAGAGAGAGAAAGAAGGAGGGGGAGAGAGCGAGAGAAGGAAGAAAGAGAAGGATGAGGAGGAGGAGAGATGGAGAGAGAGAAAAGGAAGAGGAGAAAGAAAAAAGAGGGAGGAGAGGGAGAGAGGAGAGGGGGAGAGAGAAGGAAAAGAAGGAGGAAAGATAGGGGGAGAGAGAGAAGGAAGAGGAGAAAGAAAGAAGAAGAAAGAGAAGGAAAAGGAGGAGGAGAGATGGGGGAGAGAGAGAAGGAAGAGGAGAAAGAAGAAGAAAGAGAGATGGAGGAGAGGGACAGAGGGGAGAGGGGGAGAGAGAAGGAAGAGAAGAAGAAAAGGAAGAAAAAGAGAGAGAAAGAGGAGAGGGAGAGAGAGAGAAATTTAGGCTGGGGGAGCTGGCACAGGAGTGGGTACTGGAGGAATTTGCATCCTCCTGCCTCTGAACCCCACAAACAACTTTGACCGGATACAAGGCACGGATTGCCGTTCCTCTCGTCTCCCCAGTCTCCACCCCCCACCCCCCAAAACTGTAAAACGATCCAGGAGGAGAAGAGAGGAAAACAGAGCCGCCGCGGCCAGATCACATGCCGGTTACACATGCCAGCCGAAGGCCGGTTGCTGTGGGAAACGGGAGCAGGACCTGCCCTGTAAACATCAGAACAGTCAATTATTTGATTACGCTTTGATGGGGATTAATGTGAGGTCTTCGGCCCTTCCTCTCGCGGCCATCCAGGCAGCTGCTTGTGGAGAAACGGGCTCCGGGGGTGGGGTGCGGGTGGGTGGGTGGTGGGTTTTTCGGCAGGTCCCTTCGATGGCCACCTGAGCGTTCCTCACAAAGGAATTCTCGCCAAATTCTTGCTTTAAATTCCCACCGTGGGAGCGTTAGGATGAGCGGCTTCCCCGCATCTTAGAGTCCTAGAATTGTAGGGCTGGAAGGGGGTCTTCTAGTCCAGGGGTCTCCAATCATTCAAATCCCAGAAGTAAATAAGGAGCCTGGATAGCTCTGCAGACAAGACACTGTAATTTAACACCAGCTGTCTGCAATTAAAGTAAGTTCGAATCTTGCCAGGCTCAAGGTCGACTCAGCCTTCCATCCTTTCTAAGGTAGGTAAAATGAGGACCCAGTTTGTGGGGGCAATAAGCTGACTTTGTATAAATATACAAAAAGTATGAAGGCTATTGCTTAACGCATTGTAAGCCCCCTGAGTCTCCGGAGAAGGGGGCATATAAATCAAATTAAATAAATAAATAAATAGAGAAATACCTGTATGTGAAATGGAATAGTCAACGAGAGAGAGAGAGAGGGAGAGAGGGGGGGGAGGGAGAAAGAGATAGGGAGGGAGGGAGAGACACAGAGAGGGAGGGAGAGAGAGAGAGAGGGAGGGAGGAGAGACATGGAGGGAGGGAGAGAGAGAGAGAGACAAAGAGGGAGGGAGGAAGAGACGGAGGGAGGGAGAGATGGAGGGACAGACAAAGAGGGAGGGAGGAAGAGACGGAGGGAGGGAGGGAGACACAGGGAGGGAGAGAGAGAGAGGGAGAGACAAAGGGAGAGAGAGAGAGGGAGAGACAAAGGGAGAGAGGGAGGGAGGGAGAGACAAAGAGAGGGAGGGAGAGATGGAGGGAGGGACAGGGAGGGAGGGAGAGGGAGAGACATGGAGGGAGGGAGAGACGGAGAGGGAGGGACGGATAGACAGAGGGAGGGAGAGAGAGAGATTCATTTTCAATTGATTATGGAGCTGTGGCCTATCTAGGTGAACATGTGGTCCATCAAATGAGAGACAGAGGGAGAGACAGAAGAGAGGGAGGGAGGGAGGGAGGGAGAGACACAGAAAGAGGGGAGGGAGGGAGAGAGAGAGAGAGATAGGAAGTAGGGGAGAAGGAGAGGGGGAGAGAAAGGGAGGGAAAATGAGAGAGGTGGAGAGGGAGAGAGACACACACGGAGAGAGGGAGAGAGGAAGAGAGAAAAAGAGAGAGAGGCAGGAAGAGAGAAAGGGAGAGGGAGAGAGGGAGAGATTCATTGTTTGATTGATTATGGAGCTGTGGCCTCTCATGGTGAACATCTGGTCCTCCAGGGAACAATGCTGTCAATCACTCATTTCCCTCTTCTCATGCCAGGGATAGTAGAGCCAAGATAGGTTGAAATGAGGCCGGGTTGAAAAGGTACAAAATTCCATGGCTCAAATTGGACATCTCTGACCGTTAGTAGCCTCTACGCAACCCCCCACCCCCCAAAAATGCATATTTGTGCCTATCCAATGTTAACTTTTTGTGAAAAACATATTCCCCTCCTGCTATTGTGGTGCCTGCCTATGGATTCCCTTTAGATCTGCACTGATTCCTCCTCCCTGGAGCCAGCTTGGCATCTCCCTGTCATTTCCTTTCATTTTAAGAGCGAGCGTATCGAATGGGCAGGATTTAAAACCAGCATTAATGTCCACTTTTCCACCAATTTGCTTTTAATGACCATGTGGGAGCTAACATCCGTGAAGCTGCAAGAAGACAAACTTGGCTCAGCACCTCCGGATTCTGTGATGGATCCGCCATCTAGCGGTCCCTTTTATTGTGATAGATCTGCCATCTAGCGGTCCCTTTTTATTTTTTCGGAGAAATGTAACTTTGCTCTCCTTCATCCGTAGTTCCAATGACCGGCTTCACCCAAAGAGCTACCATTGACCCGGAACTGAACGAGATCCATGTGCTGTCTGGACTGAGTAAAGATAAGGAAAAACGGGAAGAGAACGTTCGGAATTCCTTCTGGATTTACGACATCGTCCGAAACAGCTGGTAAGCAGGAGTTCCTTTTACTCCCCCCTCTCAGTTAAGTCTCTTTTTGCCTTTGGCAGAGATCATCTTGATTAATAGGCAAGGGTGTTGCGGTGGCCTAGAGGTGGAGCTCTCGCCTCACAATCAGGAGGCCGTGAGTTCGATCCTAGGTAGAGGCAGATATTTCTCTCTCTGGGCACAAAGGGAATATATCTGCCGAACAAAACTCCGCACTGGTGACAGGAAGGTCATCCGGCCAGTAAAACACTCTGCTAGGTCCATTCAGTTGCCCAGACTCCACCCTGCAAGGGATTATGGGGTCGTTAAAAGAAGAAGAAGATCTTGATTAATAGACAAGAGGGCAGATTGACCATGTTTGAAATTTGCAGGTTTGCTCCAAGAAAGCCAGAATCTCTCACAGGAAGCAGATAGTATGCATTTCATAACTGCAAACGCTGATAAATGAACCAGTCAGAGCCAGAAGTGGTTTGTCTAGTTTTGCAAGGTAGAACTTGAAACAACAACATTTCGAATTTAACAATTTTTCATTTGCCACTCACTAAAGCACAAGGTAGTCCTCGACTTATGACCACAACTGAGCCCAAAAATTGATGTTGCTGTGTGAAACATTTGTTAAGTGAGTTTTGCCCCATTTGACCTCCTTTTTGGCTTCCAAAAAGGACGATAATTTGCTAACACAGCCAGGTCCAGGGAGGGCTTCTTGAGGAGGGGCCTCACCACCGCCTCTTTCAAGGCGGCGGGAAAGACACCCTCACTCAAAGAAGCATTTATATCCCCTGGAGCCAGCCTCACATCACCTCCCGGGAGGCCAGTACCAACCAGGAGGGACACGGGTCCAATAAACATGTGGCCGCACTCAGTCTGCTCAGTATCCTGTCCACGCTTTCGGGAGTAAATTGCCAGGCCCGGAGCTTCCAGCCACAAAGCTGTAAATCAAACTCTCTCAAGCAGGCTCTGAAACACGAATTACGATGAATAAATCCAAATGACGCCATTCACCTTTAGCTTCTATTTATTCCCCAGCCAGGGAGGAGCCATTCAGCGTCCAGATGTGCCTTCCTTTCTAAGTCGGCTCCTGGTACGCAATTGTTCTCCTCTCCTGACAGCTCTGCGCATACGTGCATCTGGAACAGGCCCCAGCTGTTCTTTTTTTTTTTTTTTTTTTAATTTGATTTATATGCCGCCCTTCTCGGAGACTCAGGGCGGCTTACAAGGCGTTAAGCAATAGCCTTCATACTTTTGCATATTTTATACAAAGTCAGCTTATTGCCCCACAAACTGGGTCCTCAATTTACCTACCTTAGAAAGGATGGAAGGCTGAGTCAACCTTGAGCCTTGGTGAGATTCAAACTTACTTTTTAATTGCAGACAGCTGGTGTTAAATTACAGTGCCTTGTCTGCAGACGTATCCCCACTGATCTTCTTCCCCCCTTATCACCGACTCCGAAGGCAGCTGGGAAATGCCCTAGCTCTCGCTCTCTGCTTCCCACGCAGAGCATCCATCAGAGCCTTCCGCAGACTTCAGGACTGGCTCAAGTTCCTCCCCAACCTCCTCATCCGAATCTGCTGGCGGCAGCCGGCAGGCTACAACAGACTCGCCAGATAACCTCCTGGTGCCGACGTCCTGTATTTCAGGTCCTGCGTCTACAAGAACGATCAAGCAGCCAAAGAGAACTTGAACAAGAGCCTTCAGGAAGAAGAGCCCTGTCCGCGTTTTGCACACCAGCTTGTGTACGATGAATTGCACAAGGTAAGCTGGTTGAGAATATGGTAGGGTGGGCAAGGTTACCATCTAAATGTCAGCATTCCAGAAAAACCTCTGCTCCAATTAAAAAACTCAGCATTTTCTCAGAGTTCCATTTATTAGAGTAGGTATCCTGGTACATCTTGGGGAACCTGAATCTGAGCGTTCTGGGTTTTTCCCCAGTGGTAAAACCTAAAATTTGTTACTACTGGTTCTGTGGGCGTGGCTTGGGGGGTTAATGTGACTGGGTGGGCGTGGCCAATTTTTTTTTTAACTTTTAAAACCATTTTTTCTACAAATGCTTTCAAAAAAATGCTTTCAAAAGGCTCTGACGATCCCAGCTGAGTTGCCTGATCGGCAGAAGACTTTTTTTCTTTTTTCTCGTCAGAGGCATTTAAAAGAAAAAAAAGGGTTTTTTTAATATAAGGGCCAAAGTTTTTAATATAAGGGCCAAGTTTAATATAAGGGCCAAAGTTTTTAATATATGGGCCAAATTTTTAATATATTTTAAACAGTTTTTAAATTTTGTGGGTATATGTTGTTTTAATATGGCTGTATACCGCCCTGAGTCCTTCAGGAGAAGGGCGGTATAAAAATTTAATTAATTAATTAATAATAATAGTAATAATAATAATAATAATAAAAATAATAAAAGCCTTTGATGATCCCAGCTGAGCCGCACGATCATCAGAGGCTTTTTTTTTTTACTTTTAAAAACATTTTTTCGGCCGAAGAGGTTGTAGAAAAAATGCTTTTAAAAGTAAAAAAAAAAAAAAAAAGCCTCTGATGATCGTGCGGCTCAGCTGGGCATTGGGGGGGCGGGCAGGGATTTTTGCTACAAGTTCTCCGAACCACCTGCCTCCATCGCTACTGGGAGGCCCATGTTCCTCCCCAACCCACTCACTGTCCGAGTCTACTGCCAGCTCTGCTGGCCGCTGGCGGGCCACAACACCAAGGCTTTCCTGACCGCTGTTTTATTTATGACCAGATCTCTCCCTCCTTCTCCCTTCAAGGTCCATTATTTATTTGGAGGCAATCCAGGCAAGCCCTGTTCTCCAAAGATGAGGCTGGATGACTTCTGGTCCTTGAAACTCTGCCGACCGTCCAAGGAATACTTGCTTCGGCATTGCAAGTACTTGATAAGGAAACACAGGTACAGACCTGCAAAGGGGTGAGGGGAGGGGGCTTTAACAACGGCATAGTGGAGGTGGGGTAATAAAGACTTAAAGGTGATCCATTAAAACAGTGTTTCTCAACCTTGGAAGCTTGAAGATGGGTGGACTTCAACTCCCAGAATCCCCCAGCCAGCGCTGCTGGCTGGGGGATTCTGGGAGTTGGGAGTTGAAGTCCACCCATCTTCAAGCTACCAAGGTTGAGAAACACTGCATTAAAAGCATTGGGCTGTTTGTTTTGTTTTATGTTTTATTAAAGTTATATACCGCCCTACTCCCGAAGGACTCAGGGCGGTGAACAGGCACAGAATAAAATACATAAATACAAAAGTTAGAAACAGTTTAAAAACCAAATTAAATAATTGAGCCCAAGACAATTAAAAATCCCAATAATTTAAAACAAATTAAAATTTCAGTTTAAAAAATTAAAAGAAAGGGGAGAAAATTAGGCCAGGCCGGCTTGCTGGAATAGGAGGGTCTTAAGAGCACGGCGGAAAGTGCGCAGATCCGGGATCCTCCGTATCTCTGGGGGGAACTCATTCCAGATAGTGGGTGCCCCCACAGAGAAGGCCCTCCCCCTGGGGGCCGCCAGTTGACACTGCTTGGCTGACGGCACCCGGAGGAGCCCCTCACTATGGGAGCGTACCGGCCGGTGGGAGGCTGTTTGTGGTAGTAGGCGGTCCCGTAAATAACCAGGTCCTAAGCCATGGAGCGTGGTAAAGGTGGTAACCAAAACCTTGAAGCGCACCCGGAAGACCACCGGGAGCCAGTGTAGCTCGCGCAGGAGAGGTGTCACACGGGAGCGCCATGTTGCTCCCATAACCACCCGCGTGGCCGCATTCTGCGCCAGTTGGAGCCTCCGGGTGCTCCTCAAGGGGAGCCCCATGTAGAGAGCATTACAATAGTCCAGGCGGGAGGTGACGAGGGCATGCGTGACTGTGTGTAGGGAGTCCCGATCCAGAAAGGGACGCAACTGGCGAATCAGGCGAACCTGATGAAAAATCCTCCCGGTCACGGCCGTCAAATGCTCTTCTAAAGACAGCCGTGAATCCAGGAGGACGCCCAAGTTGCGAGCCCTCTCCGTGGGGGCCAGCGATTCCCCACTTGGGCTGGTTTTTTTTTTCCAATTTGATTTATTTCAACGGAGCTCCTGGCTGTTTTCAGTTAGCATCGAAAGAAGTCGTGTCGAAGTGGGACCAGGGGAGGAGTCAAGTGGGGAATTAGTCTGGAATCGTTAAATAGGTGCAAGTGGACAAATTCCAACACCCCTTGAATGCCATTGAACCAGCGTGGCTGGCTGGGGAATTCTGGGAGCTGAAAGTCCCAGGCCAAGATGGGACACACCCCTGATTTAGGAGATCAATCAAATGCAAGTCAGGTCTGGTCTTCTCCATTTAAAGATGAGGCTCTAGTCCACATGAGGTTCTGGTCTTGGACAGCCCAGCAGAAACGGTGTCAGGCATCTACCGTATTTTTCAGACGTTAAGACACACTTTTTTCTCTCCCAAAAGGGGTGAAAATGTCTGTGCATCTTATAGACCAAATATTGCCGAAGCTCCACCCACCCGCCAGCTGTTTTTTTTTTGGCCTCTGGACGCCCCGTTTTTGGGGCTTTTTTCAGCCGGTTTTTGAGGCTTTTCCTGGCCCATTTTCAGGGCTTTTTTTGGCCCATTTTCGAGGCTTTTTTCGGCCCATTTTTCCCCAAAATCGGGCCAAAAAAAGCCTGAAAAATGAGCTGAAAAAAGGCCTGGAAAAAGGGAGACCAAAAACTTTTTTGTTGTTTTCTTCTTCTAAATTTAGGAGCGTCTTATAATCAGGTGGGTCTTATAGTCTGAAAAATGCGGTATATTTTTATATTTGGATGATGGCCTTTGTAAAATAGTCTCACGAGTCTTGTTAAGTTCTCCCAAGCTGTCTCCATCACCCCGGAGCTACATCCTGACCTTGTGTGTCTCCACAGGTTTGAAGAGAAAGCCCAGACGGATCCTCTAAGTGCCCTAAAATATTTGCAGAACGACTTGTTTGTCACTGTGGACCACTCGGATCCTGAGGAAACCAAGGAGGTAAGCTGGTTCGCCCGTCCACATGGAAACAATTGTGCAAATCTGGTTGGAATTGTCCCTTCTAGAACACCTGGATGACAAAGGTGTAGATGGGTCAGTCCTGGGCAGATGTGTATGTGTGCATGCATGTGTTTGTGTATGCAAGTGCACATGTGTGCAGGGCAGATCAAGACAATTAAGAAATTGGTTGGATATCGCTAGGATTCCTCTCATTTGGGGTAGGGGCTTATTACTTTTCATTCCTGTCCAGATTCTTTTGTCAATCTTACCATCTTTACTCTTCCTTTTTACCTGTCGTCTTTCTTTCTTTCTTTTCTTTCTTTTTTCTTTCTTTCTTTCTTTCTTTCTTTCTTTCTTTCTTTTTTCTTTCTTTCTTTCTTTCTTTTCTTCCTTCCTTCCTCCTCCCTCCCCCCCCCCCTTCTCCCTCCCTCTTTCTTTCTTTCTTTCCTTCCTTCCTTCCTCCCTCCCTCCCTCCCTCTTTCTTTCTTTTTTTCTTTCTTTCTTTTCTTTCTTTCTTTCCTTCCTTCCTTCCTTCCTCCTCCCTCCCTCCCCCCTCTTTCCTTCCTTCCTTCCTCCCTCCCTCCCTCCCGCTTGCTTTCTTTCTTTCTTTCTTTCTTTCTTTCTTTCTTTCTTTATCTTTCTTTCTTTCTTTCTTTCTTCTTTCTTTCTTTCTTTCCTTCCTTCCTTCCTTCCTCCCTCCCTCCCTCCCTCCCTCTTTCTTTCTTTTTTCTTTCTTTCTTTCTTTCTTTCTTTCTTTCTTTCTTTCTTTCTTTCTTTCTTCCTTCCTTCCTCCTCCCTCCCTCCCTCCCTCCCTCTTCCTTCCTTCCTTCCTCCCTCCCTCCCGCCTTCTTTCTTTCTTTCTTTCTTTCTTTTCTTTCTTTCTTTCTTTCTTTCTTTCTTTTTCTTTCTTTCTTTCTTTCTTTCTTTTTCTTTTCTCTCTCTCTCTCTCTCCCCCTTTCTTCCCTTCCTCCCTCCCTCTTTCTTTCCTTCCTTCCCTCCTCTCTTCCTCCTTTTTTTTTCTTTTCTTTCTCTTCCTCCCTCCCTCCTCTCTCTCTCTCTCTCTCTCTCTCTATCTCACACACACACACACACACACACACACAACACACACACACACACACCGTTTTTGTTAAATGCAACCATTCCAGGTTTTCGTAAGTTAGGAGGCATATCAATTTAACCCTGCCACCAGTGCAATAACAATGTTATTCTTCTAAGTCATCTGACAAGGGAGATAGGCGGCATATAAATTTAGTAAATAAATAAAATAAACACAGGAAGTCCTCAAGTTACAACCTTTCGTTCAGTGGCCATTCAAAGTTACGACGCCATGGAAAAAGTTGACTTATGACCCGTTTTTCACAGTTGCAACCTTCGTAGCATCCCCACGATCAGGTGAACGAATTTCAGACGCTTGGCAACCGGTTCATATTTATGACGGTCGCTGTGTCCCCAGGTGTGTGTGTGTGTGTGGGTGTCACGTGATCCCCTTTTGCGACCTTCTGACAAGCAAAGTCAACGAGGAAGCTAGATTCACTTAACAGCCAGGTTACTAATTTGGCCGCTGTAGTGATTCACTTAACAGCTGTGGCGAGGAAGGTTGTAAAATGCGACAACACTCGCTTAACAACTATTCCGCTTAGCAGTAGAAATATCGGGCTCAATTACGGTGGTAAGTCAAAGACCGCCTGTAATTTCACCCCACCCCCCGCCCCAATTTACGCAGGTGCATGCATGCCTGTCAAAAACAACTTCACAACCTTATACAGTCTTAGTTTGACTCTTTGGGAAAATCCTGGTTTGAAGGTTGAATCCTGGCAAGTGGACCAATTTCTCCTTGTCAGTCTGAGAGGTTTCGCTGCTCATCCAAGCAGCTTCATCGGTCAGATGATGACGTGATTTAGGCAGAGAGCTGTCGGCACGGACCAACTCCTGCCACACCAAACTCAGAGGGGTTTTCCTCCCCAAAATTTCAAATTCTTTGTGGTGGCCCGTCGGCTGCCGGCCCCTCCAGCAGCCGAATCAGACGAGGAGGAGGAGGCATGGGAGTCAGGGTCAGCATCAAGGCAACCTGAGAGCTCCGAGGGGGAAGAGGGAATGGAGCTGGCAGAGAGAGAGAGAGAGAGAGGCGGAGTCTGGGCCGTCCGTCAGCCCTCAGATGGAGGGTTAACAGCCCCCAGGTCTGGAGGTGGCTGATGAGGAAGAGGAGGAACAGCTGGGCCCAGTGCCTGACGCACAGATGCACAGAAGGCAGAGGAGAGGAGAGCAGTGGAAATCTATGGGCCGGTCCTTGGGACGAAAGAGCCACTGCTGCTAGCGAAGTCCCACCCTAGCTCTGGGGATAAAAGGCAGGGGGCAGAGATGAATACATGGGGCATACAACTATGAATACATGGGGCATACAACTATTCATCTCCCTGCTGGATGGACTTGTTAGCCTGCGGTGAGAGAGAAACTTTTTTGCATGGGTAGCTGGCGCTCCTCATAAAGGAATCATTGATTTAAATACAGAGGGTTGTCATTCCCCACCAGTCAGTTTAGAACCGAAGAAGCTTCTTGGACAAGATGCAAAACATTTTCAAAGGGAGAAAAAAAAACCCAAGAAAGTCCAGCTGCTTTTGGAAAAAAGCCCCTTTGAGACAACCATGACCTGGATGATTTGAGAATGTCCATAGACGCGTCGACCTCTTACTTGTTAAAAATTGTCCTTTCTTGTGTTGTTTTGTTGTTTTTTCCCCCATGTCTAGTTCCAGCTGCTCGCTTCGGCACTTTTCAAGTCAGGCTCTGATCTGAGCACGCTGGGTGAGTAGACTTCAGACTCGTCTGCATTGCAGCGGCCTCCGAATCTAGCTTTGGGTTAAGTGCCAGTAAAAGTGCACGGGGCTCAGCCGCAGTGTGAAGGTATGATCCATAACAGCCGTCGGAAGGCTAAGTCAAAACAAATTAACAGACCATCCATCATCCTGAGAGCCAGCGGCCCTTGGCCTGCTGGGGTTTGGTGAAGTGGGGCGGGGGACGAGCTTGATCTTCGCTTCCGAAGATGAAATGCACTGTCACAATGGAGGCAGAGTTCAGTCTGTTCTAGGCAATCTCACTCCTTGTTCTGACCTAGGCTTCCCCAGCAACACGAAGCCGAGTCCTCGTCCCGATAAACCCCCTTTTATTTAATTTACAGTGAATTCCTCTCCAGCAAAGTCTTTCCTCTCCCACAGTCTTTCAGGATAGTTCACAATTACCGACCTTTATCAGGCTTGGAGAGTTGCCAGGTCGATATCTTTCAGACGCAGCAATACTTGGCAAGAATGCAGGAATGAACTAATTGTCTCCTGCAAACTCCACTCCTCTTTCGCTCCTCTTTTATTCCCTCTGGGAGGGGCCGTTCACCGTCCACCTATGGCTTTACTCCTGAGTCGCCCCTTGTTCTTTAGCTGTTCCCTTCGTCTGGCAACTCTGCATGCACACACTGGGAACAGGCTCCAGCTGTTCTTCTGCCTCACTGATGTCTGACTCCAAAGGCAGCTGATAACTGGCATCCAGCCCTGGCCCTCTTTCTGCCTCCAATGCAGAGCCCTTATCAGAGCCTTCCCCAGACTCCAAGACTGGCCCATGTTCCTCCCCAACCTCCTCACTGTCCGAATCTGCTGCCAGATCTGCTGGCGGGCCACCTCACTCCTTGGGCAGCCGGTCAAGAATAACACCATTTCCCCTTCCCAGAACTTAAAAATCCTAGTTCAAGTTTATAGATCCGTGATGCGAACCTATGGCCAGCTGATTTTCGGGCCTTCTGGGCCCACCATAAGTAGGGAAACAGGCTGTTTCCTGCCTCTGGAGGGCCTGGGGGCGGGGGGGGGGGGGAAGGCCCGTTTTTCTTTCTTACCTGGCTCTAGATCCTTTCTATGCATCTGGGAAGGGCGAAAACAGTCTTTCCCACTCCCTTGGAGGCCCTACAGAGGCTGAAAGGGCCCATTTCCTGACTCCGGGTGGGACAGGAAGTGACTTTTTTTCCTCTCCCCAGCCTCCAGAGACTCCTAGAGAGGCTCCTAGAGACTCCTAGAGAGGTTCTGGAAGCTGGGGACAGCAAAAAAGGTCACTTCCTGTCCCACCAAGAGTTGGGAAATGGGCCCTTTCAGCCTCCGTAGGGCCTCCAAGGGAGTGGGAAAGGCTGTTTTCGCCCTTCCCAGATGCATAGAAAGGATCTAGAGCCAGGTAAGAAAGAAAAACGGGCCTACCAGGCCATCATGTGCCAGGAGCGGGGGTGGGTGGGGTTGCATGCGCGTGGGCACGTGCACGCATGACCCTCCCCCGCCCACTCCTCTCCTGGCACGCGATGGCAAAAAGGTTAGCCATCACTGTTATAGATCATCATATTTTTCCGCCTCCTCCGTAGCACTTCTGCAACTGAACACAGCAGAACATCGTAACCAGAGTTGGAAGGGATCTTGGAGGTTTTCTAGTCCAATCCCCAGCTCAAGGAGGAAAATCCTATACCAGGGATGTCAAACGCAAGGTCTACGGGCTGGATCTGGCACACGGGGTGCTTAGAAACAGCGAAAGACTGGCACGCGGTGTCTATGCCAGTGAAAACGGAGCTCGGCTCGGGCTGCGCACGGCCCTCACAAGACTCACAAGCTCCGTTTTCACTGGCAGAGGACCGCATGAGGCCATCACAGCCAAACCCCGGCATTTATGGCCGGTTCCAGGCGGTGGGGATCAGCGCCAGCGAATGGGCTGTGGCAAATGGGCCACATCGTCATCGAACAGCCTAGGCGGCTCAGTGGCTAAGATGCTGAGCTTGTCGATCAGAAAGGTCAGCAGTTTGGCGGTTCGAATCCCTAATATAGGCCTCCTGTGTGAGCCAGGGGGTTGGAATAGATGACCTCCAAGGTCCCTTCCAACTCTGTTACTGTTAGCTTGTTAGTGTTAGTTGTTAGTTGTTACTGGATGGATGCTGGAGGCAAAGGCAGATTTTTTTTTTTTCTTGTTATCCTCCCCCCCCAAAAAGGTAGGTGCGTCTTATACTCCGAAAAATACGGTATATTTTCTGATGCCCCACAAATCCTCTTCATTGCCCCCCCGTCCTTCCCTTCTCTCCCATCTCCAGGCTTTTCGGACGTCGATCACGTCTACGCCCAACGAACTCAGCTCTTCGACACGCTGGTGAATTTCTTTCCGGACAACATGACCCCTCCCAAGGGCAATCTGGTGGAACTCATCACCCTGTGACCCGAGCCAAGTTGTTGCTGGGCCCGCGGAAGGAAGAGGATTTTTCAGTATTTTTAATTTTGCGTGGGTGTGGGTGTGTGTTTGTGTGCGTGCGTGAGTGCGCTCGCGCAGTGAGCGAGTGGGGAACTTCAGAAATAGACGCGAGTTGTGTGGGGAGGGGCTTTATGCAAACGGATAAATAAAAAGGAATCGATACGTTTCTGATGGGCTTCGGGATGGATGGGTGGATGGATGGATGTCCGTTCATTTGCTCTGTTCGTTTATTTGTTCATTCATTCTCATTCGCGTTGACGCTTTTGGAAGATCGATGAGTATTGACATCCAGGAAGTGGGGGTGGTAGAAATTGGTGAAGGGGTTCTCTGAGTTGACAGACCCTTATTTTGGGTACCAAACTCAGGGTTTTGAGGATAGGGGGTGCTTTAAATATGATTGGTTCACAGCAGTTTTGTTCTCCAGACTGATTTTGCTGATTCGAGCTGTTTTTTTCAGCCTGCTGCAGCCGATGCAGGCCTCCTTAGAGTGGGGGTGGGTGGGATGGGAGGTGTAGATTTGACCCTCTCTTTTTTTTGATGGAAAAAGAAGAGTGATGCATGTTCTTTGGGGATCTTTCGCCATCTAGTGGCCATGGGGTGAAAAACAGAAGGCTCTTAGGCTGATATTAAGACACAGGTTAATGTTGACATCTGCCTAAATCAGGGATGTCCAACCTTGGATACTTCAAAACCTGTGGACTTCAATTCCCAGAATTCCCCAGCCAGCATGGCTGGCTGGGGAATTCTGGGAGTTGAAGTCCACAAGTCTCAAAAGTGGCCACAGTTGGACACCCCTTGGCTAAATGGTGCCATCCTACCTTGTAAATGCATGTGGAGGAGATGCAGTCTTGAGCTGCTTGCTTTACCCAAAATTTCCCATGTTAGAAAACGAAGCCTACACATACACCCCCCCCCCCCCTTTACCCCTAAAAAGAGTTTAGCAGCCCCCAGTTTTTTCAAAATTCAGATTTATAATGCACGGAGTTCTATTCTAGCTCGGGGGCTGTGCGTGAGCAGCTGCACAAGTGTGTGTTCTCATCTCACTTCCCGGATGACTTATTTTGCTGGGAAAGCTGTCACAGTTAAGACTGGCACGGTAGCACCGGGTTGGACACAGAGAAGGCCAGAAGCTTCACTCGGACACTCTAGTAGACTACAGTAACCTTGAGTTGCGCCACTGTGACTTTGGATGGGAGGGATTGCAGTGTGATGGGAGTTAGTGATGTTCTTCCAACATCCATGGTGATGAATGTCCCGATTGCAATGGGATTGTAAGCCCTCTTCCCTCCATCTGATGGCCGTTCCTTGTTTCTTCTCCCTTCCGCGCTTGAGTTTCTATGTTCTTAGTTGTTGAGGCCAAGATGTACATGGGAGAGATGCCACCCCCACCACTTGCAAAACTAATGGGATGACTACCCAACAGATGTTATTCGCATTGACCTGTTCTGCTTCAAGAGGTTGAAAGAGATGCCTCATTTTGAAGCAGAAGTCCCAGCACTGATGGTCTCGCTTCTTCTGGCCACCAAAGGGTATTGTGGTGAACTTCATCCTCACAAGCCTTGAAGCGGCAAATGAAATGTCTGTTTTCTTTGCCATCCCAAAGATCTTGTTCCCGAGCACTCTAAGCAGAATATTGAAGATTCAACAGGTCCACAAGGAAATATTATCCAATCTTCCTTAAGTCTTTCACTGAAGTTGCTTTTCTTTAATATACACACCCCGGTGTGTCCCCCTCCAAAGACTCCCATTTCTTTCCCGTTTGGAACTGTTCCCATCATAGTTATGCTTTGTAAAGTAAGGAAATGAATCAGGATATGGAGATACGTCGGCTTTAGCTTCATAAATTTAGTGGAAGTTACATCACAGAGGGAAAGAGTGAGGACTTTCTGGTGTTTGTGTGTGTGTGTGTGAGAGAGAGAGAGACAGACAACCTGCAAGGTTATACGAGAAGACCTGCTCCTTTTCTGTTGGTGTTTTCCACGCACATGCAAACTGGGACAGGGCTTTGATCATGGCTTTGGCCCTTCCGTCTTGCAGGTCTTCACACAAGACGCGCGCCCCCTTGGAAAAAGTATTAAAAGTTATTCCGTTGCCACGGTAATAAGAAATGTCTTTAGCATTTAAAAAACTTCGAGAAGAAATATATATTTTAGACTAGCCAGGGTTCATGGATAACAATGAGCTTTTCCCTTCGTCAGCACTGTAGGGTTGAACCAAACAAAAGCTTTTTGTCATTTTGTTGGGCGGTTTTGTGAGTTTGAGTTTTGGATGGAAGCTGGAGAGCAAACTGCATTTGGGATTGCTCTTGGTTGTTTCAAGAAAAGGAAGGCATCTGACATAAAATGGTTGAGCAATCAGGAACTAGGAGATGTTTCTGAAGGACATCTACTGGCATATCTTCCCATTGGCTGTACTGGCGGGACACGTCTTTCCACCATCATCCGGGGGGACTTAAATTGTCCACCTCTTGCTTTAAAAGGGTTGAGCGATTTAACCCTTCCAAAATGATTTCTTAGGCCTTCTAAGAAATCAGAAGAACCCAAGGAACAAAAAGAAGAAAATCCCAGCCAGATTTGCTCTGGAGAACGTAAGATTTGGTGGGTCGGCAGAAATCGGTCTCAACTGACGCCGATATCACCGTAAGACAAGATTTTGGTGGTTGGGGCAGTCTCCAAGAAACTTCAAGCTTGAGTGCTGTGCCTTTTTTCCCCCTAGTCCAGCTCAGTTAGAGGATTTTGATTAACCTCGTTTTGTAAATTTGCTCAAACCAGTTTTTGTGGTTTACATAAGCCAATGTCGGACGCCACGGTTTGACGTCGCTTTGCTTTTAAAACTGTAAATTCCGACTCCCTCGTTCAGAAGAAACACGTCGGAGTCAACCCAGTGCAAAATTTGCATTGCAGCGGACTCTTGAATTCGTGTGATCAATCCATGGCTTATGACGCCGTATGATTGTGGCTAGGACCAGTAGGCTTCAAAGGATCTATATTAATATAGTAGCCAAGTGCCATCTTTTGAAAATTACAGTTCTTCTTTTTTTCTTCCTTTTTGAGGCACCTAGAATTTTTTTTAAAAGGTGTTTCTCCACCCTTATTTTAAATGAACTTTTAATTGTCGGGTATATGGCACAGGTGCCAGTTTCACACCTGGATTTCAAGTAAGAGTTTTACCATCCTTTTCTTACGAACCAGAAAAAATTTCACCCAGATTTTCAGCGTATGGATAAGAAGACTGCGGTAGTCAGCGTGACATTCTTCCCTCTCAACCTTATGATGCAATTATAAGGGGGGCTGTTTAGAATGCATTGCATGGAGCCCTCTTTTACTTCCAGGAATTTGCATGCCTTACCTGAGTCTTCCCCTGGAGCGTGTTCTTGTGGCGTAAGGGGCATGCTAATTGGATGAACGATTTAATTGAGAATTCCTTCCAACCGTTCGAGCATAACCTGCCCTTAACCATTCCTTACTTCCATCCCTGCCGTTCAGATGCAGAAGGCATCACTCAGGCTGCCATACCATGGACCCACCCAACAGATGAAGGCTTGACTTCCCCTTTCCTTCGACTTTCAAGTGCGTCGTGTCTACAAGCTCCCAACATCCCAGCCGCAAGTAAATTTGTGATGAAAATATTTTTTGAGTAGACCACAATGGTGGGTAGCGCTTTCTACTTTTATGAGCTGGTATTTAAGACAGGTAGTAAGGCATCAAGAGAGACTTCATAATCGGACTTTCCTATCTCCCATTCAGTGGGCAAAGGTGGAATCTGTTGATATTCCTTTTAATAATTTGGTCCACCCTACCTAACGATTTGGTCATTCAAACAGTGCTGGACATTTCTGGTCGTTTAGATGTTCTCTAGATACGTTAACAGGATGGTCAGAAATATCAAGAGATGTGGGAGGTTGTGGACTTCAGGAGGTTGAAAGAATAGACTTTGGATCTTTTCCCAAAGAGGATCCTTTTTGCTCAATTTTTGGGGCATTGCCCCTTTTTATCCTCTTGTCACACCCACCACCCACTTCAGGGGGATCCCCCAAATTTCAAAAGAGGAGCATATCTCGGGAAGGACAGATTGGAAAAATCCAGTGTGAGAAAGAGCAGGAGGTGGGAAGGTATCCTCCAGTGAGGATCTTTTTCAACTTTCGGGGTTCTAATTCTAAATTCTTGAATATAATTCTGTAGACAAAGAGAAAGCAGATAATAAAAAAGTTCTCCCTTTAGAAATCCTGTACGGCCACCAGCAAAAAACACTCTGAAGAGGACATATGAAACCTGACCCGAAGGTCATAGTCAACTATTGAAATTGCGGTATACGACAGCGAGAAAACCAGATTTATTTCCCACCTCCCATCGTGCAATTTTGACTGTAAAACCTAACAGTTCAGTTTGACAAAGAGGTTGTAGGTTCTTGTCAGCCCCGTTTGATCCCTTCCCATTTGGTACATCTGGATTTTTTTCTTCTCCCTTTCTCTAATCTTAACGCCATTCAGAGATTGGCTGGGGATTTTGATAAGCCTTGAAAGACTGACGGGTGTCATGCAGAAGACCGAACTGCTCCCTCTTTAAAAAGATACGGGTTTGTAAAGTTGTAGCTCCTTTACGGCGTAGTCCTGAGGTCACACAGAATAGATTGGTATTGACTTGGCTCCGTTGGCTCAACAAAGAAATGGCCTTCAAGATAGAATGAAATCTTACGGCCCATTGGGTTTGATTAGAGAAACTCAAGAATAATCGGAATAGGTATTGGGGATGAGCGAGGAAATCCACCCTCTGATTTCTCAAATGTTCTCCCAGAATTGAAAACGCGTGGATTCTCTGGTAAATAGACGTGAGAAAGCAATATAAATCTGTCCGAAGCTGCTGAAGTGGATGTTGCTTTGGGAAAAATGGCAAGGGTTGGAATTCAGTAGATTGACTTGGTCAACTTGATGGCCAACTTGATGGAAGAGTGAGGTGTCCCCTTCAAAGAAGTGTGTGTGCGTGTGTGCGTGTGTGTGTGCGTGTGAGAGAGAGAGAAATTTGACCGGTGCTCTTAGAAGCGGGTTTTGATTGGTTTATGTTTGACATAAGCCTAGATTCTTGGTCCTGCAGCACATTTTTTCCTGGCCAGGTGCTTTTTGATGCGAGTGTCTCAGGTTGGAAAAGCAATTTGAAGGATCAGGCGTGGGAAGTTAACCATTATATTTTTTAAAAAAAAGAGAAAGCAGAAAAGAAAATTTAAGATTAGAGGCAGGGCGAGCCAAAGGCATTTTAATACCAAAGGAATTGAGGCCATTTGGTCCCGTCTAGGATTAGCTAAAACGCAGTTCAGCTAGATAGTGTAAATCAGAGGTCTCCATACTTGATCATTTTAAGACTTCCGGACTTCAACTCCCAGAATTCCCCAGCCAGGAATTCTGGGAGTTGTAGTTCACAAGTCTTAAAAGTGGCCAGGTTTTGAAGGCCCCCTGGTGTAAATCCTACCGAAATGTGCATGGCCATTTGTCACAAGCGTGCTTGTGGGATAACCACTAGGCCCAACCATGAGTTTTCATCTCCACTTTCGTCAACAAAAGCGCCTTCCAGTCCTTTTGATTTGCCACCCACCCGGCGCACACCAAGCGATTTTTTTTCCTTGCCGCGCTCACTGCTTTATGGGCATCTTTGGATGTCCTTTCCCGTTGCTTTCCGCTTCCTGGCCCCGCATCGTTCGGTCGTACAATTGTTCCGCCAGGTTTGAAGATGTATGTTAAGAATGACTCTGGGGACAGACGAATAATTCCCAAATGTAGAATTTTTTGCTGTATGTAATGTATATACGGAGAGAGAATGTATTTTGTTCATTTTTTTTCTTAATAAAAAGAAATTATGCCAAACTTGGGATTTTTGCAACTGGTGTTTCTTGAAGTTCTCCAAGTGGCCTCAACAGGCTCTCTTAAAAAAGATGCAAACGGCCAGCTTTTGTCTGCAAGAAATATCAATCCTTCCATTCCCCTCCATCCAGTCAGAGCTGAAGAAGCTTCTTGGATGAGAAGCGAAACGTCTTCAAAAAGAAGAAAAAACAAGGAAGTCCAGTTGCCTCCTGAAAAAAGCATCTTTGGGACAACCATGACCTGGAGGACTGAGAATCTCTGCAGGCGTTTCTTGAAACCATCTGCACTTGCTCTTACGTCATTACATGCCGATGCAAGTAGTTCTCAACTTACAACCATTCATTTAGTGACCGTTCAAACAGCACTGAAAAAAGTGACTTGGGACCGACCGTTTTTTACATTACAACCATTGCAGCCAGTGGTGGGATTCAGCCGGTTCGGGTGAAACAGTAGTTAAATTGCTGACTGGCTCCGCCCCTTCCAAGAGTCCCTATGTGCCCCATTTTGGCTCCCAGGTAAGTGCAGGGAGGCTTCCTACACCCAAAAAAGGGCGCACGGGGTGGGTGCATGCAGTGTGCCCCCTCGGGCCGTTTTTGCTCCTAGGAGGCTTCAGGGAGGCGGCCTAGGCCCAAAACGGGGCATGGAGGGGGCACACACACACACACGGCCAGTTTTTGCTCCCAGGCAGCTTCAGGGAGGCCTAGGCCCAAAACGGGGCATGGGGGGGCACACACATCCCCGCGGCCAATTTTTGCTCCCAGGAGGCTTCAGGGAGGCCTAGTAGGCCCAAAATGGGGCATGGGGGGGGCACACACACCCCCGCGGCCAGTTTTTGCTCCCAGGCGGCTTCAGGGAGGCCTCCTAGGCCCAAAACGGGGCATGGGGGGGCACACACACCCCCGCGGCCAGTTTTTGCTTCCCGGAGGCTTCAGGGAGGCCTACTAGGCCCAAAACGGGGCACGGGGGGCACACACATCCCTGCAGCCAGTTTTTGTTCTCAGGAGGCTTCAGGGAGGCCTAGTAGGCCCAAAATGGGGCATGGGGGGGGCGCACACCCCCCTGTGGCCAGTTTTTGCTCCCAGGAGGCTTCAGGGAGGCCTAGTAGGCCCAAAATGGGGCATGGGGGGGCGCACCCCCCCCCCGCGGCCAGTTTTTGCTCCCAGGGGGGTGTAGGAGGCAGAGTGCTGCCTGTCAGACCCCCTGGCCATGCCCACCATTAGGGCAGAGAACCGGTTGTTAAAACTATTTGAATCCCACCACTGGTTGCAGCATCCCCAGGTGATCAAAATTAAAATATTAAAATCCATCTACGCTCAAGGCAGGCCTGGGAAGCTTTTTGAATTTTCAGAAGCCACCAGCATTTTGTCAAATTTCATGAGATGACCTAAAAGCTTTAGTCCTCTCCATGAGGACAAGGTATTTCTCTTTTATCATTTTTTTCATCTTTTTCTTTTTTTAAAGCCTCCATCTTCATAAGTTCTCCTTTTAAAACTCCGAAACAGCTCTAGAACATTTCCCATCATCAATGTTAATGCTAAAATTACATCTGGACCGAGATTGGGGATGCTAAGTCCGGCCACAGGCTGAATTTAAATTTCGGAGCAAAGGAAGCACAAGGCTCAGTATTAAAACTACAATAGTGGCCAAAATTGTGGAAACCTTTTGGGAAAAGTGTATTTTTGAGGTTTGATGGCTAATACAACCACTTTTTTTTTTTTTTTGGAGTTTCAAGATAATCCTATTCCACTGCTGGAATAGCCTGGCAATAGCCCAGACCTTAACCCAATTGAAAATCTATGGAGCCAACTAAAAAAACTGGTTAAGTCAGAAGTGACCCAGCAATAAAACCCAGTTAATAGAAGCCATCATTCCATCTTGGTTTCACATTATAACAGCTGCAGAACTAAAAGACTTGGTTCACTCCATGGGAAGACATTGTAAGGCCGTCATTCATGCTAAAGGTGACCCAACTAAGTGTTAACTGACGTGGGGATAATTTTTGCATGTCTCATTTTTTCTGTGTGTTTCACTTTTCTTCTTCATACTGTAACTGCTACTCCAATAGCAAATCCTTCATAAAAGTTATTGCATTACATTCTTGATTCAATGATCTTTCCATTGATATATAATTTTACGGTACTATCCCCCCCCCCCAAAAAAAGTGGTGTTATTAGCTAGTTTTAGAAAATACAACTTTTCCCAAAAGGGTTTCCACAATTTTGGCCACTGCTGTAGATCTGCGTCCCGCAAGTCAGCCAATCTTATCGGCAAGAGAAGAAGTCAACACTCCACAAAAGAAAATTTCTTTTTTATTTGACAGTAATAAGCAATGTCATCAAAATATACTTTGTAGGAAAATGTAACCATACTTTTTACAACCCAATCATCTTTTTTTTTTAGAATTCCAGTGTATACCCGACTCCTGTTTCGACACAAAATGTGCCGGGGGAAAAAAAAACTATACAGCATTGGGTGCAATGCCCCTATTTATTTATTTTTATTACAATAAAAAAGGGGCTAAAATTTATGCCACAGTCCATTCAGATTACAAAAATAGAGGCCCAATAAGCTGCAACATACACACAACGCAGACAGATGCAGTCCTTCTGGGCCTAAGAGATTCCAATCTCTTTTAAGGCTTAACGAAACATCCATGGCCCAATTGCACATTTTTAGAAGCATGGAAGAGGCGTCAGAAGCACCTCCATAGAAGCCTGGAACGGTTCAAATCTTCTGAGCTGGAATCATTCAGGTAGTCCTCGACTTACAACAGTTCGCTTAGTGACCGAACTAAAGGGACTTACGACAGTTTTTCACACAACCGTTACACCCATGGTCGCCGGGATCAACATTTGGTCTCTTGGCAATTGGTTCATATTTATGACGGTAACGGGGTCCCCTTTTGCGACAAGCAAAGGGAAGCCAGTTTCACTTTAAGACCCGTGTGAGTAACTTAACTGCGGTGATTTGTTTACGACCAAGAAAGGTCGTAAAATGAGGCGAAACTCCACAAATGTCTCGCTTAGCAGCAGAAGTTTTGGGCTGAACTGTCGTTAAGTCGAGGACTACCCGTACAAGCGTTTTAACCTCAATTTGGGTCCTTTCTAAGGTCCCAAGCTTTAGAAAGAGAAGGATGTGCCGAGAAGTTTGATTTTAAGCTCGGAACTAAAACATTCAATCCATCTTTAATTTTGGTGTGATGGGACAACGGAAAAAGAGATTTTCTCTCTTCCGATGGAAAAGTATCAGAGCGAAGGTTGCTTGATTTTGGACTTCAAAAGGGCCCCCTTCTCATTTCATTTCATGCCGGCCCCCCCCCCCCCCCAAGTCTTAACTTGCTTCTTATGCAATACCAAACACGATAGGCACAGTAGTAAGCCTCAACTTGCTAATTAGAAACATTTTACAATAAAAGATTTGTCCATGGCGATGCTAAACAGGTGCTTTTTTCAAGAGGCAACTGGACTTCCCTGGTTTTTCTTTTGAAGAATTTCGCTTCATTCAGAGCTGAAGAAGCTTCTTGGATGAGAAGAGAAACGTCTTCAAAAGAAAAAACCAGAAAGTCCAGTTGCCTCTTGGAAAAAAAAAACAAAAAAACCTTTTGGGACAACCACGACTTGGATGATGGAGAATCTCCACAGACATTTTGCTAAACAGGTAAAATTGATAGAGGACCCCTTTTGATTTGCATAAAGGATTTGTTAACTAAGGGGAGAAAAAATAAAATAAAATGCTTTAGCTCCCCAAAATAACCAAAGCTACAAACAAGCCGATGCTTCTAATCCGTTGCTGAATGGAGGTTAGCAATTTTTTCTTATTTGAGGTCGGTACGCTCCATCTCATTTGCTCTTAATACGGATCCTGGAAAAATAATGTCAACGGAATGAACGATTGAAATGACTCTGTGCAGGAGCTCGCTCCAAATAGCGTCTCCGCTGAGATGTTTAGCTTAACCAAGAAGCTCCTCAAGAAATAAATTGGAGAACTGACCAACTAAATCTTCCTTTTTGCCTGGTTCAACACAAGTTAACTTTCTGCCTTCGATGGCTTATGCAGCTTAAATTTTAAAATCACCTCGAGCGGGAGGTCTCGACCTTGAGACAGTTTTTAATAGCAATAGCACTTATATGCATCATCCCACAGTGCTTTACACCAGCGCTTCTCACTTTCCAACAACGTGGATCAGCGGCGGCGGCGAGCAGCAATGGGGTGGGGAGAGGGGAAGGTTTTGCGTGTACAACCTAATCCTGCATAAGCGCAAATGAAATTGGGGAAAATAAATACAATCCTGGGCTTACAACAGTCCCATTTAGCGCCCGTTCCAAAGTTGCAACTGAAGCAAAGTGACTTATGACCGTTTTTCCCAGGACCGTTGCAGCATCCCCGTGATCACATGACCAAAATTCAGACTTTGGCAGTTGGTGTCTGTATTTATGACGGCCGCACTGTCCCAGGGTCACATCCCCTTTTTTACAACCTTCCGACAAGCCAAGTCACTGGGGATGCCAGATTCACCTAACAACTGGGTTACTAATTTAACCACTGCAAATGATTCACTTAACAACTGTGGCAAGGAAGGTCGTAACATGGAGCAAAACAACTCAACTGTCTTGCTTTAGCGATGGAAATTTGGGGCTCAATTGCGGCTTTAAGTCAAGGACCACCTGTGGTCCACAAAAGTCCATATCATCAGCCTCCGCTCACCTGCCTCATTAAGCCATGATTTGCTTAGGTCTGGTTTGTTGAGTAAACCACCATTGAATGGGGGGGGGAAGGGGGTGCGTGACATTCTAAATCTCAAGCAAAGGTGCCACCTGCACACCAAACCAACATTTGAGCTTGTCTGTTGGACAAACTAGGTCTGTCTTCCTCTAACTCCGATGGGCAAACCCAGCCAGTCAATTAAGTTCTAGCAATATGAATCTCTACTCCAGTGTTACGCCATATTGGCAACTTAAGAACGTGTGGATTTCAACTCCCAGAATTCTGGGAGTTGAAATCCTCCAGGCTTAAAGTTGCCAAGGTTGGAGACCCCTAACCTGAAGGACTGAGAATCTCTACAGACTGTTAAGGTTTGTCTTGCCCAATTATTCAGAATTAGGACTCCCTGCCTATGCAAAAATCTGAATAAATCCTACTTCTAACAGGGTGTGCCAAAGAACCCTTTGTCTTTAAAAACAAAAGTCACATTTCCACCATCTAGGCACCGTAAATCCATCTTTTAAGGAAGTATTGGTGATTCCACCCATCCTGTTATCTCTTTCTGTTCCCAGAGATCTTACGAGCGGCTGGGGTGATGCCGGGGCCTTTCATTATGAACAAGCCTTTGGTCGATTTTTATCGTTTCTTTCAGCAGTTTCCTTCCAATTATTTTCCTTGGCAGACCGAACGTCTTCCCACTTCCTTGTCTTCTCTACAAACCGGAGTAAGCAAGGGCAACCCTGAGTGTCTCGAAGACACGTGGGGATGAAAACATTTTTCTCCCCATCAGAGGAGAATGTTTCCCCCAAAATAAGACATCCCCTGATAATAAGCCCAATCGGGCTTTTGAGCGCATGGCAATAAAGCTAAGTGCTTATTTCAGGGTTCAAAAAAATATATAAGACAGGGTCTTATTTTCGGGGAAACACGGTAGTAGTCAATTGAGCCCCACATTTCTCTTCCAACCCCAGATTTTTGGGGGCAAGCAGCACTGTGAAGCGGGTATATAAGTTTAAGGGCTATTGCAAAGCACGACAGTGGTTAAAAGCAAGTTTGGCCCCATTCTACGACCTTCCTTGCCACCGTTGTTAAGCGAAACCGCTGCAGTTGTTAAGTTAGTAACCCAGTTGTTAAGTGAATCTGGCCTCCCCGTGAACTTTGCTCGTCAGAAGTTCTCAAAAGGGGATCATGTGACCCCGGGACGTTGTACAACAGTCGTAAATATAAACAAGCGTCCAAATTTTGATCACATGACCACAGGGAGGTGCACCAGTCGTTAAGTGTGGAAAAACGGTCCTCTCTCTTTTTTTTTTCCAGTGCCGTTATAACTTGGAGCAGTCACTAAACAAACAGTTCTATTCAAGGCTGAGCTTTGGCTTAATTTGTCGTTTGGAAAGCACTGTTTGCAACCTCGGAAAAATGCCATGATACGTTTCCTGTGGGAACCGGTCATGGCAAACATTGCAAAAAATGGCCCAAAAGTGGCTGGAAAAATGGCCCAATCCTTTTGCCGGCATCCTAATATTGTTCAGTGCTAGCAATAAATCCCACTAGTAAATCTACCGAACTGATTCCCCCCGCCCCCCACTTTCTTGGAAGCGAGTAACGCATGACCTCTCTCTTGTAATTACTGGCCTAATTTCACTCCCATAAAATTAGGATCCTTAATTCTAACTACCATATTTTTCAGAGTAGAAGACACACTTTTTTTCCCTCCTAAAAGGTGAAAAATTGGGTGCGTCTTATACACAAATGTAGCCCCGCCCCACCCTTTGGCCTCTGCCTCCCAGCAATTGGCCTCCTTGCAGCAAACAGCCCGTTTCAGCTTCAGCACAACCTGATTAGCACAAGCAGCTGATTGTCAGTTGGATCAGCCTCCCGACCATCAGCTGTTTCAGGCTGCAGGGATTGCCATTGCCTATTGCAGCTTCCGCGCACCCCATTTTCGGCCTCCGCTGTTTGCTGCAAGGAGGCAAATTGCTGGGAGGCAGATTTTTATTTTCTTGTGCTAATCAGGCTGTGCTGAAAATGAAAATATAACTGAAACAGGCTGTTTGCCGCAAGGAGGCAAATTGCTGGGAGGCAGATATTTTTTTTCTTGGTTTCCTCCCCCAAAAAGGTAGGTGCATCTTATAGTCTGAAGCGTCTAATACTCCAAAAAATACAGTAAAGGATGGTGTTCATTTTAGGGCTCATTTTTAGAAATTCTGCTCTTTTTAAGGCAGAATTCAGCAATTCTCATTTGCAGCATTAACTTTTTTTTTATTTTTTTTATGTGCTCTCTATTCTGGCCAGGTTCCCAACCGATTCCTCTGAAAATGGCCACTGGTCACTCAGATGTTCGGGAGGATTATGCAAACTGCTTCTGGAAATCTCTTTTGCTTGCAAATAGCCCCAAATCAACCAAAAGGCAACTACTAGCAAGTTATTTGAGGACACCAGCAAAAGCTGATGTTTGCAAAAATGTAAGCCCCGAGTTGATTGGCCTCAGTTACCTTGGCATATTTTGTGGGTTTCTCCAAGCCTTTGAAGATACCTTAGAGATTGCCAAATACTTCATGACTGTGTTTTTTCAACCTTGGGAACGTTAAGGTTTGTGGACTTCCATTTCCCAGAATTCCCCGGTGCCTGGGGAATTCTGGGAGTTAATGTCCTCATACCTTAAAGTTGCCATGGTTGAGAAACACTGATCTGACAAATACAAAACTTCCCCATATTCTGTGGATGGTTAGTGAGAGGATCAAGAAAGCTCCTCCACCAGAAAGAAAGATAAATGAGGTACTATAATAAAGGTATTCAGTGGCCAAGATTTCTACAACTTAACTCTTTCCTCTTTTCAATAAATCTGGTTAAAGAAGACTGTTGTTTTGGCTGCAGGCAGCTGGCTGGGGAATTCTGGAAGTTGAAATCCACACATTTAAAGTTGCCAAGATTGGGGAAACCCTATACTAGATGATCTCCCAAGATCCCTTATGGTTCTACGTAGCCATCGGGGTCCTATATAGAAAAAGATGTGGAGATAACCTTAATCAAAGGTGAACAGCTCATCCATTCCTTAAGTGGAATATATCTACGTCTCTGGATAAGGCAAGGAAGGGAAGGATGAACAGATGTACCTCCGCAACATGCACATAGACACACACAGTGGAGACCTGTACAATTTGTAGTCCCCACAGATGGGGAGAACTGCAAGTAGGGGAAGGATCAATTGTCGATCCACCTCAAGGCACAATTAACCCCCTTCTTCTTCAAGATGATTCTTTTAGTCTGGACGGACTTAGTATTGCTAGCATTTTTATGGCCAATTCAACCCAACCCAACCAGCCCTCCCCCTCCCATACATTCTGCTTCTCTTTATTCGATTGTGGATCTCTCAAAGGTGCTTTTTTTCCGCAAAAGGCAACCGGGCTTTGTTTTCCCTTGAGGACGTTTCGCTTCTCATCCAAGAGGTTTCTTCAGTTCTGAATGGTGGAGGATGGAAGGTTTTTTTTATCCGTATTTTGAATGTTTTTCTTTCATCTCTCCCGTATCGTTTCTCGCTTCCACTATGTCTTTCTTTATCTCATTGTGGCTTTTGGTCATGGATTCCTGTAACACCTGGAGGAGAGGTCTCCAAACTTGGCAGCTTTAAGACTTGTGGACTTTCAACTCCCAGAACTCTGGAAGTTGAATTCTGGGAGTTGAAGTCTACAAGTCTTAAAGCTGCCAAGTTTGGAGACCCCTGACCTGGAGCATCGCTAATACTTCCTTTTGGGATGTATTTGATTTTTCCAGCTGCAACATACTCTCCATCGACCTCTGATTGGATGGACTTGAGGATACTGATGACGGTGTGGAAGATGCCTTCTTCCCTATTTTGGCTATATTTGCAGTTGAGGATGGAAGGATTTATATATTCCTCGCAGTCGTGGTCGTGAGGGTCGTTGAGGTCACTTGAAAGTTTATCTTGGACAAATGGGGTTAAAGAGGCCATCTAGGTTGACTCTACCTTCCATCCTTCCGAGGTGGGTAAAATGAGGACCCAAATTGTTGGGGGCAAGAGGCTGACTCTGTAAACCACTTAGAGTGGGATGCAAAGCACTGTAAAGCGGTATATAACTCTCTATCTGCATTTGGATTGAACAGCTGTCTCTCAACAGAGGGATATGACACCCACTATTTCCTGTTTACAACACAGTCCTTTCAGCAGTTCCAAAAAGGCCCCACACCCAATTTGCACTATTCAGGTGACCCTGAGGGCACAGATAAACCTCCAAGTGGCCTCAATGACTCTCAGAAAGAGTACTAACGACCAGATGACTGCAAGGAATGTAAATCCTTCCATCCTCCACCATTCAGCCAGAACTGAAGAAGCTTCTTGGATGAGAAGCGAAACGCCTTCAAGGAAAAACAAAGTCCAGTCTTGGAAATGTGCCCCAAAGCACCTTTGGGACAACCGTTGACCTGGATGACTGAGAATCTCCAAACACATTTAATTCTGGATGTAGAAGCTGGGGTCTACAAAACTTGCTGTGCTTCTCGCTTTCCTGACATCCCAGTGCCAAGTGCTTTGCTCTCCCTGGGTGAGAGCTGCAACTTTGACATACAGGCACACAATTAAACACACACACACACACACACATCCCTGGGTCCCTTCTCCAAACCTTCACTTTTTTGCAGCCCGTGTTCAAAAGCCAAACACAGCTTGCATAAGCATTGTGGGCCACATGCAGTGGGTGAAGAACGGAAATTGTCTTTCCAGATTTTTGAAGATTCCCCCCCAGGAGTTGCTCCTAGAAGCATGAAGCCGAAAACGCCAGCCTGAAGATGACGAATGAGACTTCGTCGAAACGTCGCCAAGACACTTCCAATTTTACGCGGGAGAAAACCCGAATAACCAAAGACCTACAATACAAACACCCGCGAAAACCTCAGAAAACATATATATATGTATATATATATTTTAAAAATCAGCACATAGGATTGTGTTGCTGCATAAGAGATCTCACTTCGGCTAGCCATACCGGAGAAAAATATTATTTTCCACCCTCTCTACCTGAGAAATCCTGCTCTAATTCCATCTTTTCAGATTGAAAAGCTTGTCTTTTTAAACCCAGCTCGCTCGGTCGTCATGAGGACTAGAGACTTGCTTTTTTGCTAAAAAAAAAAAAAGTCAAGGAAAAAAAAACACACAAAAAATAGGGTGGCATCAGGAAAGGCTCTCTTCCCCATAGGTTTCCTGTATCCAGGACAATTTGTGACCTTTCTCCAGATTCCCCATTACTGACATCTCTCCGAGCCTCGGCCATGCTTAAAGAAGAGGCGCTGTCCTTAAAAATATCAGTACGCATACATATAACTTTGCTTCAGAAAGCCAACGGGTTTAAAAAGAACGTTGATAATAATAATAATAATTAAAAAAAAAATTCACAAAGATTTGGCAGGTGCCTGCCGTTCCACCTTCGACTGGGATCATCCCAGCCCTGTCTTTCCCACGTCCGTCGGCACTTGTGGCTGAAGATTTGAGTTTTCCATCTTGATCGAAATTTGAAGGGAGGGAGGGAGAAGGCAGGGAGCGGGTAGCGTGAAGTTCCATCTTTTTCTATGCTCACGTCTCCCTCCTCCCCTCTTCTTTCGTTAAAAAAAACAAACAAAACGCACACATACGCAGAGCCACCCCACCGCTTATAAATGCGTGTCTTCTTCTTCGTCCAATTCGTCCTTGGTGAGGCTGTCCATGGGCACGATCCAGCTGTCTCCCAGCTCCCCGTTCAAGTTCACCTTTTTCTCCTGCATTTCCGATAACGTCTCCATCACTTCCAGCGTGGGGTTGTCGTGGTAACCGTTCTCGATGGTGTGCAGCTCTTCCGTCAGGCGCTGCTGGACGGAAGGAAGGAAAGGCGGACAACGTCAAGGACGAGGGTTGGGGTTGCCCCGATGGAATTGCCCAAAAGAGCTCCTATGCTCCCGCCCATGCTCTGTTCAGGTAGTCCTCCAATTTACGACCACAATGGAACCCAACATTTCAATTGAACCCAGCAGTTGTTAATTGAGTGTTGGCCTCGTTTTACGATCTTCATCGCCACAGCTGTTAAGTGAGTAACCTGGTTGTTACGTGAACCCGGCTTCTCCGGCTGACTTTGCTCGTCTGATGGTCGCAAAAGGGGATCACATGACCCCGGGACACCGCAACCGTCATAAATATGAGCCAGTTGCCAAAGATGACGGAGTTAGAAGAGACAGCTAAACTGACTGTTTTGATTAAAGAAAAAAAAAATCACAATTTTGTTTCTACTTGGAAACCATTTCTGGACTTTGTGCTTGAGGTGGAAAAAAAAAATGAAACTTGTTATTCTAACACAGGTCGTTCTTGACTTACAAAAGTTCATTAGGTGACCGTTCAAAGTGTCAACGGCACTGAAAAAAGTGACTTAGGTCCGTTTTTCACACTTACAACCGTTGCAGCATCCCCACGGTCATGTGATCAAAATCCAGACACTTGGCAACCGACTCACATTTATGACGGTTGCAGTGTCCCGGGAATCACGTGATCCCTCTTTTGCGACCTTCTGACGAGCAAAGTCAATGGGGAAACCAGATTCACTTAACAATCGTGTTAGTAATTTAACAAATACGATAATTCACTTAACAACGGTGAGAAGAAAAGCGGTAAAATGGGGCATTTAAAAAATGTTTCACTTAGCAACATAAATTTTGGGCTCAATCGTGGCTTTAACTCGAGGACTACCTGTATTAATTTTGGTGTTAATCTCTGCTTATCTGGGTGTTGTGATTGCTGGCGATGTTTTGGTCTTTTTTGTTTCCTTTTTTGGTTTTTTTGGTTGTTCTCTACGAACACAAACAATTAGACAGTAAACAACAGCCTAATCAAGGAACCGCCAAGATCACTCCCACCAACACTGAAAAGACAAGCTTCTTGCACATAAACAGAGAGCAAACCCCACTCCCTCCCTTCTAGCACTGATGCTGTTACCTAGTTGGGTCATGAAACGTCTGCAAGAACACCACCAAGCTCAGAGAGCACCAAGAACCGCACGAAGGTCCTTTCATTCTACATTTTCAAAACAGGTTCCCTTACCTGGTCCTTTCTTTGAGAAATACGTTGGTGACAGCAGCCGTAGATGGCAGCTACGAGGAGCAGAGAGGCCGCCATGCAGATGATGGTGATAATGAGAGGAAGGCTCAGATGATCCTTGGGCTCCGTGTCTAGGGGTCGGCCACCATAGGTGATGTTGTTAACGCCAAACTGTTGAAAGAATATCTGGTAAGTAGCAATAGCCATAGTACTTAGACTTACGCTGTTTCCCCGAAAATAAGACCCAACTGGAAAATAAGCCCTAGCATGATATAAGCTCTCCCCCCCAAAATAAGCCCCAGTTGAGCTTGTCAGCTAGATGGAAGCATTTAGTACCGCATTTCCCCAAAACTACTGTATTTTTCAGAGTATAAGACACACCGGAGTATAAGATGCACCTTAGTTTTTGGGGAGGAAAATAAGAAAAAAGCTGATTGGCGATTGGATCGTCCTCCCGGAATACCCCCAATCAGCTGTTCCCAGAGATGAATTTTAGCAACAGGTTCGTTGGTTGTGAACTCTGTGTCTTTTTCAGCCTCTGAAACTCTGTTTCAGAAAAAAAATTTTCCTGCCTGTGAAAGCCTCCGAAATAGAGCTTCAGAAAAAAAAGCCTCTGAAGCTCTGTTTCTGAGGCTTTTTTTCTGAAGCTGTTTCTGAGGCTTTTTTTTCTGCAGCTCTGTTTCTGAGGCTTTTTTTCTGAAGCTGTTTCTGAGGCTTTTTTTCTGCAGCTCTGTTTCTGAGGCTTTTTTTTCTGCAGCTCTGTTTCTGAGGCTTTTTTTTCTGCAGTTCTGTTTCTGAGGCTTTTTTTTCTGAAGCTGTTTCTGAGGCTTTTTTTCTGCAGCTCTGTTTCTGAGGCTTTTTTTCTGAAGCTGTTTCTGAGGCTTTTTTTTCTGCAGCTCTGTTTTCTGAGGCTTTTTTTTCTGCAGCTCTGTTTCTGAGGCTTTTTTTCTGAAGCGCTGTTTCTGAGGCTTTTTTTCTGAAGCTGTTTCTGAGGCTTTTTTTCTGTTTCTGCAGCTCTGTTTTTGTTTCTGAGGCTTTTTTTTCTGCAGCTCTGTTTCTGAGGCTTTTTTTTCTGCAGTTCCGTTTCTGAGGCTTTTTTTCTGCAGCTCTGTTTCTGAGGCTTTTTTTTCTGAAGCGCTGTTTCTGAGGCTTTTTTTCTGAAGCTGTTTCTGAGGCTTTTTTTTCTGCAGCTCTGTTTCTGAGGCTTTTTTTTCTGCAGCTCTGTTTCTGAGGCTTTTTTTCTGAAGCTGTTTCTGAGGCTTTTTTTCTGAAGCTCTGTTTCTGAGGCTTTTTTTCTGAAGCTTCGTTTCTGATGCTTTTTTCAGCCTCTGAAACCTCCGTTTGAGAAGCTGGGCAGGGCTACATTCGGATTATAAGACGCACCTAGATTTTCACCCTCTTTTTTGGGGGAAAAAGGTGCGTCTTAAACTTCGAAAAATACGGTAAGACCTAACCAGAAAATAAGCCCTAAAGTGTCTTTTGGAGCAAAACCCAGTCTTATTTTCAGGGAAATGTGATATATACTGTTTTCCAATGCTTTACAGCTCTCTCTAAGTGGTTCACAGAGTCAGCCTTTTGCCCCCAACAATCTAGATCCTCGTTTTACCCACCTTGGAAGGATGGAAGGCTGGAGTCAACCTTGAACCTGGTGAGATTCGAACTGCCAAATTGCAGGCAGCCGGCAGTCAGCAGAAGTAGCCTGCAGTACTGCACTCTGACCACTGCGCCACCGTGGCTCTATGGTTGGCTTCAGGCAAGAGAGACCTCTATTGTGGATTCTCTATGTATTTCAAGGAGGGTTTTACAAGTAGTACTAATAAAGGGGAATATTTGTAGCTCCGGGTTGAAATGAGGGAGTCCTTGGTGCTCTTTGAGCTTGGTGATGATGTTTTGGCTGTGGTTTGCTCACCAAGCGTGTTTCAATTTAGGTTCTGAACATTTCGTTACCAGACTAGGTAACACGATCAGCAGGGATTTTACCTTGTCCTATTTCTCCTTAGCTTATAAATGTCTTGTGTAAGCTAAAGAGGAATAGGGCGAGACAATCCTGCTGATGATGTTACTTAGTCTGGTAACGAAACGTTCAGAAACTAAATTGAAACAAGCTTGGAGAGCAAACCATGGCCAAAATATAAAATCCGAGCTACAAGTATTTTCTATTATTCCACTCTTGACTTAACCCTGTTGCCTGTATTTTTACAATTTATATTGTTTTGTTTGTTTCCTAGTATGATTTGATGGCTTATTAGTAACCTATGACTATCACTAAGTGTTGTATCTTATGATTCTTGATGAGTGTATTTTTTTTTCCTTTTATGTACACGGAGAGCATATGCACCAAAGATAAATCCCTTGTGTGTCCAATCACACTTGGCCAATAAAGAATTCAACTCAATGCAATTCAACTCAATGCAATTCAACTCAACTCAATGCAATTCAACTCAACGCAACACAGTGCAATGCAATTCTATTCTATCCCATCCCACTCCTTTCTCTTCCTCCTCCTCCTCCTCTTCCTCCTTATTCTATTCTATTCCATATTTTCTATTCTATTCTATTCTATTCTATCCTATCCTATCCTATCCCATCCCACTCCTCTTTCTCTTCCTCCTCCTCCTCCTCCTCTTCCTCCTATTCTATTCTATTCCATATTTTCTATTCTATTCTATTCTATTCTATTCTATTCTATTCTATTCTATTCTATTCTATTCTATTCTATTCTATTATTCTATTCTATTATTCTATTCTATTCTATTCTATTCTATTCTATTCTTATTTCTATTTCTAATTCTAATTCTAATTCTAATAATTCTAATTCTAATTCTGTTCTTCTTGATGATGTTACCTAGTTTGGGCAATGAAACATCTGCAAGAAAATAACCAAACTCCGAGACCACCCACCCACCAAGGACCCCTCATTTATAGGTAGTCCTTGACTTACAACCATACCTGCGGCCCGGACTTACAAAATCATAAATACACGTCGGTTGTCCAAGAACCTAAACTGTGATCACGTGATCCAGGAAGACACTTGTGATGGTCGTTAAGTCAAGGATTACCTGTAAATAGGCACAGTGGTCCCACACAACGTATGGCACAAGAACGTTTTTCAGATGTTCGACATTGCACGGAACCAAGGTCGGAGGCTTACCACGTCAAGCCAATGTGAAATGTCGGGTTAGAGGAAGCCAACATCACCATTAGTGATTGGGGTGAGCCCCAAAGTTTGGTTAAAATGAAGGGCAGGGGAAAATGGGACAGGGATACACTTCATTATGTTTTTTGGTGTGTCCTACGTGCTACCACAATATGCTGTTACAGAACGCGGGTAAAACGTTTCCCTTCAGGGGAAGACCTGCCGTGGTTCCAGTAGCAGTTGCGATGGGCATCCAAAAAAGTCATCTGGAGTCTCCTTTTTCTGACTGGTGACAACATGGAATGGACACCTGGTTATCTCACTAAACAGCTGTCTGGCTTCCTATCTGTTGGTAAGCTTCCCAAACTTGGAACTCACCAAAGGACAGGAGGACACCAATTCCGATGTTTAAGACCGAGTGGAAAATGACGAGAACTGTAGTCTAGCACATCTGAAGGACACCAACTTTGAGAAGATTGATATTACATTGGATCAGGGGTATCCAATCTTGGTAACTTTTAAGACTGGTGGACTTCAATTCCTTGAATTCCACAGCCAGCCAGGGGAATTCTGGAAGTTGAAGTCCACAGAACGTGAAGTTGCCAAGATTGGACACCCCTGCATGAGATGAAATAACTAGAAGAGAAGAATGGCATATTCCTCCATGTTCATTAAACAGATTTCCATCCTGATTTACAAATGCTGAAAAAAAAACCAAGATTTGGAAGATAATGATTGTTCGTTACGAGAATCGCTCAACCTGTTCCTCAGCAGTAGTGTCCATAAGAAGTCACGATGATGTCAAAATGTCAACGCACGTCATGATGTCTAACCTGAGATTTAATTGTGTGAAGCTCTCTTCCAACCAGGCAGAAATGTTTCCACCTAAGTGTGAATGAGGGTTTGGTTCTCCAATGTTCCAGATGTTGGCTTAAATTTGTGTGAACCACTTATGACCCGCTGATGTTCCTCACCTCCAATTCCAAGCAAGTCTGGCCAACAAAGACCATCAGAATTGGTATTTCAGCAACGTTTGGAGGACAACAAGTCCTGCTTGAAACACAGAAGACTGGACCTTACCCAGAACTACTTCTTGCTTACCTTCTCCAGTTCTGTCTTCTTCGCAGCCAGAACTTCGGATAATTCCTCATCCACAAAGTATGCTAAGAAAAATAAATAAAAGGGATCGAAGGGAAAAATAGACTTTGATTAGATTAGATTTTCATTGCATGCATCTCTGAAAAGGGTCACCACCTCCAATGTACTCTCCATAACCATGACAGAATGAATGAATGAATAATAAATAAATACAAAATTATGCATGTACCCAGGGGTGAAATCCAGCAGGTTCTGACAGGTTCTGGAGAACCGGTAGCGGAAATTTTGAGTAGTTCAGAGAACCGGCAAATACCACCTCTGGCTGGCCCCAGAGCGGGGTGGGAATGGAGATTTTGCAGTATCCTTCCCCTGGAGTTGGAAGGGTGGAGATTTTGCAGTATCCTTCCCATGCCATGCCATACCCACCAAGCCATGCCCACCAAGCCACACCACACCCACCAAGCCATGCCTACAGAACTAGTAGTAAAAAAAATTGGATTTCACCACTGCATGTATCCACATATATTATATGACACAGAGAAATAACACAGTCTAGTCCGGATGTATGCATGTACATGGTGAGAGAAACGAATCTTGCGAGTTTACCAGACGGATGGCATATACATATAGGGAAGGAAGCTGTTACAGAATCTGATAATCCTGCTAGAAATACTTCGAAACCTCCTCCCAGAGGGGAGCAACATAAACAGACTGTGAAGTGGATGCGTGGGGTCTCCAACAATGCTTTGAGGTCTAAGCACGTAGCGCTTAGAAGCAGTATCCTGAATAATGGGAAGCAAGCTTCTTATAATGTTCTCCGTTGTCCTCACCACTCTCTGTATGGACTTTCTATTTGAGGTGCCGCTGCCACCAAACCAAAGAGGGTGGCGGTTTGTTAAAATGCTCTCAATCGTGCTTCTGTAAAAAAGTGGCCAGGACAGGAGAACGAGGTGCTCTTAGGTATTTTCCCAGTGCGAGCTCGTCCTACAAGGAGGCCAAGACTCTCAGCTTTTGTCTAAGTCTTACTCAGGAGTAACAACCACACCTACTTTGCACAGATATTTTGATCACAGCCACTCTCTTCAGATCCTCCGGGTCTGAAGCTAGCCAAATCGTACAGTCATCTCGCTCCTGGTTGTAGTTGGGCTTCAACGCTTTGCAAAGCATCTCCATAAGAGCCTCTTTCAATGAGCTTCCCTCCAAACTGTTCTGTAGGAAGAAGAACAAGGGGTTTGAAGGACCTGGGAGGTGATAATCCAACCAGAAGAGTCACCATGACCTCCGTTGATACAGGCAGGCGGACAGACAGACAAAAGCAGATAGGCCGGCTGGGGAATTCTGGGAGTTGAAGTCCACACCTCTTCAAGTTGCCAAGGTTGGGAAACACTGACCTTTGAAGTATTTCCCATTATTGAACAAGCTCAACAATTTAACATCCTGATGGGAATCCAAGACTAACATCCCTCTGCGGAATGAGGTCATGGCACTTGAATCAACAAAGCAGGGACCGAACCCAGGGAGACAGGTGGAAAGAGAAACAGACGAGAGATTCCTTGCCCTTTTCAACCCAGTGGGTTTCAAGTCAAACCAGCTTTGCGTAGGTTCTTTTTTTTTTAAGGGTAGATTTGGAAGTAAAATATCCATTAGGATATCCTCTGCTGCGGCTCCCCGTTTTATTTTATTATTTATTTTATTATTCATATTTCTATGCCGCCCACTCTCCGAGGACTCTGGGTGGCTTACCCCAAAGACAGTATACTAAATAGCATATTGCCCCCAACAATCCGGGTCCTTATTTTACCCACCTCGGAAGGATGGAAGGCTGAGTCAACCTTGAGCCGGTGAGATTTGATCCGCTGATCTGCTGAACTAGCAGTCAGCTGAAGTAGCTGCAGTACTGCACTCTAACCACTGCGCCACCTCGGACCTGTTGCTGGTTGGCTCCACAATTGATAGGGCTTTTGGTTAGGACAGGTAGAGGAAAAAGGATGCCACCCTAGGAGGAGACTATGATGGGGGAACCAGATTTCCAGTCGGCTCCAGAACTGAACGCGGGCCTCCGGTTAGGACCTTTGTGGCTCTTTAAGTGTTTAAGGATGCTGAGTCCTGTTTTAGGTCGAGTCTTTACGTTTGACCGAGCTTCACCTCCTAATCATTTTAGGTTTAATATTTCCCCCCCCCCCCCCCCCCCGTTTTTTTAAAAAAATTGACAATCTTAAAACTGGGAAGTCCCATTCAAATCACTAGATGAGTCTTTTTTTTTAATCCTTTTTTTTTTTAAAAGAAGTTTAAAGGCAAGTTTAAAGATTTGTAACAACAATGGAATATACAGTAAAAGGAAGATTAACATTGGCTTTAAACGGATTAAGGGCTCAGATGGATTTGATGCAAGACTTTGAAGTTAATTGAAAGGATCCTTTCTCGTGGGAAAATATTTATGTTTATACTCTGAATCGGCTTGGTAAGGCGACTTTGAAGGTTGACACTAGGGGGCAGCAGAGAGCTACCTTAAAAGAGAGGAAGTTTTATTTGAAGAAAAATCAAAAAGTGTCACTGAAGAGAAACGAGTTCCATTGAATAAAATTGATATTGACTTGCGGGTGGTTTCAAAAATGAGTTACAAGAAAAGGGATGGAATTATGACTTTACAAATGGCGCTGGATGAGGATTCCATAATTTAGAAAGACATGCAAATAATAAACCAGAAAAGTGATGCGGGAAATTTATTTTTAACACTGGGAATACAAAAGAGATTTACTGAAATAAGCCACACTGAATTTACAAAGGATTCTTGACAAAGACACTGAGAATTTTGAGAGAAGAGACAAAGAGAGTATGAGAAAGGAGACAGAATGCTCAGGGCTTTTTATAGAAAAAGATTAAACAGAAACGGCGGTATAAATAGAATAGGAAGGATTCAAATACAGTTTGCAACAGTTATGTTATTACTGTATTTCTGATGACTCTTTATTGGACTGTTGCTGATTAATAGGAAGAAATGGCAGAAAATGAAAAGGAACTCACAGAATAGGAAGGGACTTTGGAGATCTTCTAGTCCAGTCCCTTGCTCAGGCAGGAGACCCTATGCAATTTCAGAAAAGTGACTGTCCTGTCCCTTCTTAAAAACCTCCAATGATGAAGGATTCGCAACTTCTGGAGGCAAGTAGTTCCATTGGTTAATTGTTCTCACTGTCAGGAAATTTCTCCTTAGTTCTAAGTTGCTTCTCTCCTTGATTAGTTTCCACCCATTGCTTCTTGTCCTGCCTTCAGGTGCTTTGGAGAATAGCTTGACTCCCTCTTCTTTGTGGCAGCCCCTGAGATATTGGAAGACTGCTATCATGTCTCCCCTACACCTTCTTTTCATTAAATTAGACATACCCAATATCTACTTTAAAATATCCAAACAAGACAAACCCAACTAAACAGCCTCTTGATGAGAGTGAAAGAGGACAGAGTGCAAAAGTTGGCTTGAAACTCAACATTAAAAAAAAACCTTAAGATCGTGGCATCCAGTCCCATCACTTCCCGGGCAAATAGAAGGAGAAGAAATGGAAGCAGTGACAGATTTAATTTTCTTGGGCTCAGAGATCATTGCAGATGGCAAATGCAGCCATGAAATTGAAAGATGCCGGATCCTCGGGAGGAAAACTATGGCAAACCAAGATGGCATGTTAAAAAGCAGAGACATCCCCTTGCCGACAAAAATCGTCAAGTCAAAATTCTTGGAAGTAACGTACGGCTGTGAGAATCGGAGCATAAGGAAGGGTGAGCACCAGTAGTGGGATTCAGCCGGTTCTGTCTGGTTCAGCCGGTTCGCTTGCTCACATTCGCAAACCGGTACGGAAAGTAAGTGAATCCCCACCTCTGCTGAACACCGAAGAATCCACCTTTTTCAAATTGTGGTGTTTAGAGAAGACTTTTGAGAGTCCTTTGGGGGGTTTGGGAGGCCAAAAATGGCCCCGATTTTCACAAAAACGGGCCCGTTTTTTGCAAAAATGGGATACGCAGAGGCTTTGGGAGGCCTGCAGAGTGTTCCTGGGGGCCGGGGAGGGCACAAAAACTATTTTTTTTCTTGTTTTCCTCTTCGAAATCTTGGTGCGTCTTATACTCCGGTGTGTCTTACAGTCCAAAAAATACGGTAGCTATAATATCCAAGTGCTTTGAGGAGATACTTACACAAGGCCGTGATGCATTTAAGGTGAGAATGTTCGCCTTCTCCTTTGGGGGCATGTTATTCACACAAACGATCTGGGGGAAAAAAATAAGGCAGAGGGGTGTGAGTGCGTATTCGGTTGGGCCACAACAAAAAACGAAGCAAAAATCTGGTTTCTAGCCCTGCAGCCTTCACCGCGAGACCAAACTGGCTTTAGTTTAGCAACCAAATGACATTTCCATGCCTTGTCTACATGCATCTGTTTTTCAAGTCTCACCAAGTGGTACCCCGGCCATCTGTTTACCTTAGTCTGGCCTTGCACCGAACTCAGGTTCGTCTGGCTGGAAGGAGAGGGGACATGAGACACCGGAGGAGTTGTGGTCCCCGGGAACAAAGCCGGAGGCGTCGTCTTCAATTCTGGGCGAGTCGAAGAGCCGCTACTTGAGAAATCAAGCATGGAGCTTCTGGAAGACCCTGAAGGTTTGGGCATCGCGATTGTCACCACTGTGTTGGGCGAGGTGAGCGACGTCGAGAATTTATCCTTGCTTGTTGTTGCAGCTTTGGCAGTCGTGTCGGTTGCTAAGGTTGTAGGACCACTGACAATTCCAGGCACGGACGAAGGTTTTGCAGAAGTGAATGGAGACCCTGGGCTTTTCACTGTTGAGAGAAAACAAAACAAAACAAAAAAAAGGACAGGTAGACCTCGACTTACAACCACAATTGAGCCCTAAAGTTATGTTGCTGAATGGGACATTTGTTAAGCCCCATTTTATGACCTTTTTTGCCACCGTTGTTGAGTGAATCACGGCGGATGCAGTGTTTTCTTGGGGTCACTTTGACAAAAATTTGGAACTTCCTTTTCATAGATGAAGAAAAGGAAATAGAGGCAGTCCTCGGTTTACGACCACAGTTGAGGTCAAAATTTCTGGTCCCAAGCGAGACTGTCGTTAAGTAGTTTTGCCCCATTTTACGACCGTTCTGGCCACCGTTGTTAAGTGGAATCACTGCAACTGTTAAGTTAGTAGCACGGCTGTTAAGTGAATTGGGCTTCCCTTTTGACATTGCCTGTCGGAAGGTCGCAAAAGGCAATCAGATGACCTTGGGACACAGCAACGGTCGTCAGTACGAGCCAGTTGCCAAGGGTCGGAATTTTGATCACATGATCACGGGGATGCTACAATGGTGATAAGTGTCAAAAATGGCCACCTTTTTTCCCCCCAGTGATGTTGTAACTTTGAACAGTCTTCTAAATGAACTGTTGCACCTATGTGTGAATAAAGACACAATTGTATTTAGACATCTTGTGTCGGAATGGGTTTGCCGCACCCAAAATCACCATGGGCCTTTTGCCGTGGCCAAACCGCCACGGTCATCTTGCCACAGCCAACTCACCTCTTGCCGTGGACAATTCCACGTGGGATAACTCGATCCGGCAAATGTTATCTCCTCCTGTTTCCCCACTATTATTTCCATTTTTGTCCATGGAAATAACGTCCGAGAAACCGCGGCGGATAAAATATATCGTGTTGAGTTATCCCGCGTGGAATTGTCCACGCTGACAATTTTCCTGTGGTGAGATGGCCTAGACCAGGCCTTGTCAAATACAAGGCCCGCGGTTTGGATCTGTCCCACAGGACCGTCCTGGAAGATGTAAGGGGCCGGCCCACGTCACTTCGGTCTCGTCTACCCAATGCAAAGAGGAAACATGCCAGTAATTTGGGGAGTGGCGTCAACCTGGCCACGCCCACCCAATTGGCCACACCCACTGAGTGATGTCATCAACCTGGCCACGCCCACCCAGTCAGCCATGCCCCCCCCAGGCCCCCCTGAGGTCAACCTTTCTTGTGGAATTCTTTCTAACTCCCTGATGGAGCTGCTCATCGGGGGGGTCGTCTTGGGAAGGATCTAAGGCAGTGTTTCTCAACCTTGGCCGCCGGACGATGTGTGGACTTCAACTCCCAGAATTCCCCAGCCAGCTGGCTGGGGAATTCTGGGAGTTGAACTTCACACATCGTCCGGCGGCCAAGGTTGAGAAACACTGATCTAAGGAGATGGAGAAGCTGATATGACTCTTTTGATTATCTTGTAAAATAGAATCTTAAACACATCTGGGCATTTTTTTTTTTGAATTCCTCAGCCGGCCATGGCAACTTTAAGACTCGCAGACTTCAACACCCAGAATTCCTCATGCTGGCTGGGGAATTCTGGGAATTGAAGTGCACAAGTCTTAAAAGTTGCCATGGTTGGCTGGGGAATTCTAGAAGCTGAAGTCCACAAGTCTTCAAGTTGCTAAGGCTGGCTAGGGCATTCTGGGAGTTGAAGTGCACAAGTCTTTAAAGCTGCCATGGTTGGCTAGGGAATTCTGGGAGTTGAATCGCACAAGTCTGAAAGTTGCTAAGACTGGCTAGGGAATTCTGGGAGTTGAAGTCCGCAAATCTTAAAAGTTGCTAAGGCTGGCTAAGGAATCCTGGGAGTTGAAGAGCACAAGTAGTGCACAACTCTTTAAAGTTGCTAAGGCTGGCTAGGGAATTCTGCGAGTTGAAGTCCGCAAATCTTAAAGTTGCCATGTCTGGCTAGGGAATTCTGGGATTTGAAGTCCGCAAATCTTAAAGTTGCTAAGGAATCCTGGGAGTTGAAGAGCACAAGTAGTGCACAACTCTTTAAAGTTGCATGTCTGGCTGGGAATTCTGGGAGTTGAATCGCACAAGTCTGAAAGTTGCTAAGGCTGGCTAGAGAATTCTGGGAGTTGATGTCCGCAAATCTTAAAGTTGCTAAGGGTGGCTAAGGAATTCTGGGAGTTGAAGAGCACAAGTAGTGCACAACTCTTTAAAGTTGCCATGTCTGGCTAGGGAATTCTGGGAGTTGAAGTCCGCAAATCTTAAAGTTGCTAAGGAATCCTGGGAGTTGAAGAGCACAAGTAGTGCACAACTCTTTAAAGTTGCCATGGCTGGCTGGGGAATTCTGGGAGTTGAAGTCTACAAGTCTTTAAAGTTGCCAAATTTCAAGATCCCTGGATTAGGGGAAATTATAATCCAGAGAGAGAGACTGGCAACGTACCTGTGGGCCCGACCGGACTTATGGAGGAAGGCGAGGAAGGAGAAAGGGTCACCGTGGTCGGCCCGCTGGTGGAGCTGAGGTCTTTCGCAGCAACCCCCCGCGAAGAAGTGGCATGGTTGGTAGGCGACACCGGAGCCAACACTGTTGCCCGCGAGGCCGTTGTATTTGCAGCGATGACGGTGGTGGCGGCAGCGGTGGTAGCTTTTCCGTGCTTCGTGGGCACAGAAGGGGTGGTGGGTTTGACGGAAGTCTCCACTGTAGGTTTCTTGGATGGTTTCACCACACCTGGAGAAGTGGGGGAGGTTGGCAAAGCTGTAGGTTTGCTAGTGGGCGCCTCTACTGGTGAACTGAGAGTCGAGACGGTCAGTTTGTCCGATTTAACGCTGGAAGGAGAAACGTCGGTGACAGAATGGACAGCCCGGTTGGTTGGAGGTGGCGATGAAGAATCAGCGGTTACTCCTGATAGGCCCCCTAAGAGAGAGACCGGAGTTAGAAAGAGGTCGCGGGTTTCCCACATGCAGCCCAGCCCCAGACCTGTTAATAATAGAATAACAGGAAGGGGCCTCGGAGGCCTTCTAGTCCAACCCCCTGCCCAAGCAGGAAATCCAATGCCATTTCAGAGAAATGGTTGTCCAATCTCTTCTTTGAAACCCCACTCCCTTCTAGCACTGATGATGTTACCTAGTTGGGTCATGAGACGTCTCCAAGAAAACAAGCAACTTCAGAGAGCGCCAAGGATCCCACAGTCCTCCTCCTCTCAAACCCCACCCCCTTCTAGCACTGATGATGTTACCTAGTTGGGTCATGAGACGTCTCCAAGAAAACAAGCAACTTCAGAGAGCGCCAAGGACCCCCCATGTTAATCCTGAGCTACAAATATCCTCCTTTCTTAGCAGCTGCTAGAGTTTGAAGGGGAGGCTCATGGCCCAGCGGCTTTCCCTAAAATGTAACTTGAACCGTCGTTAAGCGAATGGTCCCTAAGTGAGGATTGCCTGTACCATGCCAAGCAGGAAGAAGCTAGGGAGGCAAGGGATCATTTATTTTCGTTTCTTTACAATGCTTTGGGGCTCACTATACAAAACCCACCCAGAGCAGTGTATACAGGTAGTCCTTGACTTACGACGGTCTGCTTAGTGACCGGTCGAAGTTACAGCGGCATTGAAAAAGCAACTTATGACCATTTTTACACTTAACGACCGCTGCAGCATTCCCCCACGGTCACGTGATCAAAATTCAGCTTCTTGTCCACTGACTCATATTGATGACAGTTGCAGTGTCCCGGGGTCACGTGATCCCCTTTTGCGACCTTCTTTGCGACCAGCAAAGTCAACGGGGAAGCCAGACTCACTTAACAACCGGGTGGCTAACCTAACAACCGCAGTGATTCGCTTAATGACTGTGGCAAGAAAGGCCATAAAATGGGGGCAAAACTCACTTTACAAATACTTTGCTTGCTTAGCAACGGGAATTGTGGTCGTAAATCGAGGACTACCAGCAATTTTGTCCTAAATTCAAGGCCAAGCTACTCCCAAAAGTTTCCTCTTTCAGGGTTCTTCATTTTTTTTTTAGTGCCTCCCAAATTCCCAGCTCAGCAAACATCCTCAGGTTTCCATCCTGGTTTGCCAAAATCCAGCGACGGGAAAACCGGACGCCCGTTTAACGCGCCTGGCACCCTGTTCCTGAGCCAAAGCGGCCGCGACTGTCGCCGATCAAAGAGCTGGAGAACCGGGAGGCATGTGCAGAATGCCAAGCCATGCAAGCGAGGGGCCTTTCAAGGCCCATTTTTGGCTATTTCAGGACGAGTGGAATGGGAACACCAAAGGGGGGGGGGAAACGGGACACTTCCTCCCCAGCCGCCAGAGTCTTCCTGTGGTCGCAGCCTCCGCCCGTCCCCAAGCATTTCCCACCCAGGGCCCTTCCTCCGTCTGTGACAAGGCTCTATTAATAGCAGGGAAGAGAACGGCAAAGCCGAAGGGCAGAAATAGCAAGGGGGGGGGCTGGTCCCGAAAGGGGGATGCTGAGGATGGTAGTTTGGTCTAGTGCCGTGATGGCAAACCTATGGCACGCGTGCCACAGGTGGTACATGGAGCCATATTGGTGGGCACGCGAGCTCAGCTCCATTTTCGGGCCTTCTGGGCCCACCAGAAGTAGGAAAACAGGCTGTTTCCAGCCTCCAATGGGCCTCGGGGGAGTGGGGAAGGCCGTTTTTGCCCTCCCCAGGCTCCTAGAAAGGCTCTGGAGCCTGGGGGGAGCAAAAAACAGGCCTTCCGGTCCCACCAGAAGTCGGCAAATGGGCCGTTTCCGGCCTCCGGGGGGGTGGGGAAGGCCATTTTCACCCTCCCCAGGCTCCTAGAAAGGCTCTGGAACCTGCGGAGGGCAAAAAACGGGCCCACCGTGCCATCGCATGCCAAAAGCGGGGGGAGTGGTGGTGTCGTGCATGCATGCATGGGAGAGCAGGGCGCATAGAATTATGGGTGTGGGCATGCCCCCCCTTGCACTCCCCCTGCTTTTGGCACGTGATGGCAAAAAGGTTAGCCATCACTGGTCTAGTGGTTAAGGCACCAGCCTAGAAAGCCAGAGGTGGTGAGTTCTAGTCCTGCCTTAGGTATGAAATGCTGCTGTGTGACTTTGGGCTGATCACCAAGAGACGGAGAGTTCTAGTCCCACCTTAAACATGAAAGCCGGCTGGATGACCTTGGATCCATCACCAGGAGACAGGGAGTTCTAGTCCCACCTTGGTTATGAAAGCCAGCTGGGTGACTTTGGGCCAATCACCAGGAGACGGTGAGTTCTAGTCCCGCCTTAGGTATGAAAGCCGGCTGGGTAACTTTGCTCCCAATCGCCAGGAGACAGTGAGTTCTAGTCCCGTCTTAGGCATCAAAACTGACTGGGTGACTTTGAGCCAATCACCAGGGAAATGGTGAGTTCTAGTCCTGTTTTAGGCATGAAAGCCAGCTGGGTGACTTCGTGCCAATTGCCAGGAGTTCTAGTCCCACCTTAAAAATGGAAGCCAGCTGGGTGACTTTGAGCCAATCACCAGGAGATAGTGAATTCTAGTCCCGTCTTAGGCATCAAAACTGACTGGGTGACTTTGAGCCAATCACCAGGAGACGGCGAGTTCTAGTCCTGTTTTAGGCATGAAAGCCAGCTGGGTGACTTCGTGCCGATTGCCAGGAGACGGTGAGTTCTAGTCCCGGTGTAGGAATGAAAAGAGGCTGGGTGAACCTTGGGTTAGTCCTCCTCTCTCAGCCCAACCCACCTCACAGGACGGTTGTTGCGAGGAAAAGAGGAGGAGGAGGAGGAAGGCGTTTTGGATACATGGGTGAAGGTGGGATACAAAATTTTGGCAACTCTAAGACGCACACGGACTACCCTTTTCAGAGTTTTCATCCACACAAGCAAAAGAAAAGAATTTAAGAGAGCAAAGGTAGTTTTCCACTTATAACCACAACGGGGACCAGAATTACCGTCGCTAAGTGGATTGTACCCAATTTTATGAGTTGTCCACTGCAGTTATTCAGCAAATTGCGTGGACGTTAAGCGAATCCAGTTTCCTCTTCCCCTCCTCCTCCGTTAACACCCCCCGCGTCCCATTTCAAACAGCCCCCCCCCCAAAAAAGGACTGGGGGTCTCCGAGATGCCCTCCCCCATCTAACAGCCTCTTTCCAAAGCTTTGAAGCTTGGAGACGTGGCGAGGCCCGCCATTCCCTAGCACCTTGGTGAGAAAAGTCATGTGTGGCAGGTGTTACGTTGCTCTCTAACACACATTGCTGTGTTCAATTCTGTGTGAACTGGGGCTGGGGTGGGGAAGGAAAGGAAGGACCCACCCTCCTCCTCCTCAAGCTGGGTCCAAGTAGACCCTCCCATAGAGAACGGAGCTGATGCAACAAGGAAACACCCAAAACCGGCCAACTTCTCACCCATTTGTAAGATAGGGGCAGGCAGGACAAAACACACCCCAAAGTTTTCTGCTCCATTCTGGCTTTTCCTTAAAAAACAAAAAAAACAAAACAGATTTCCGGCCAAGCCTGGAAAATACGCACAAGCGTTTGGGAGGGAGGGAGGGAGGGAGGGAGGGAGGGAGGGAGAGAGAGAGAGAGAGAGAGAGAGAGAGAGAGACAAAGAGAGAGGAGACAGAAGAGAGAGAGTGAAGAACACACACAGAGAGAGGAGACAGAGAGAAGTCGAGAGAGAGAAGGAGACAGAGAGAGAGAGAAGGAGAGAGAAGGAGACAGAGAGAAAGAGAGAGAGAGACAGAGAGAAGAAGACAGAAGACGAGAGAGAGAAGGAGACAGAGAGAGAGAGGAGACGAGAGAGATACAGAGAGAAGGAGACAGAGAGAAGAAGACGAGAGAGAAGGAGACAGAGAGAAACAGAGAGAGACAAGGAGAGAGAAGGAGATGAGGGAGACAGAGAGAAGAAGACAGAGAGAAGACGAGAGAGAGGAGACACACACACACAGAGAGGAGATGAGAGAGAGACAGAGAGAAGGAGGCAGAGAGAAGACGACGAGAGAGAAGGAGACAGAGAGAAAGAGAGAGAGACAAGGAGAGAGAAGGAGACGAGAGAGAGAGACAGAGAGAAGACAGAGAGAAGAGAGAGAGAAGGAGACACACAGAGAGAGAAAGAGAGAAGGAGATGAGAGAGAGAGAGAGAGAGAGAGAGAGAGATGCAGCTTGGCGCAGAAACTGTCAGACAGGAAAAAGAACACGGATCACAATCCAAATTCTCAGCAGGTCCCTGATGCTCCCATCTCGGCATGGATGGAGCCTTAAAGGTCCAAAGCAGATGGTTTCTCCCCTCACCCACCCACTCAAAACAATTCATTTTGAGAACCTGTGGGGGGCTCCCGGGAAGCGAACCCATACCCTTTCTCCACATTACGTCGTTTGATCTGAATCGCACCACGCCATCCCAGCAAGGGAAAAATAAAATAAAATAAAATGTCCTTTTTAATTTCCCCAATCATGGGACTATTAAAATAGCTCGGTGGAAAAGACAGCAGATGGGAGGAAATGGTGGCGGCAATGTTTCTCTTCCTTGGGTTTTCAATCCAGGAGGTCCTCAGTTTACGACCAGAATTTCTACGGCTAAGCGAGATGGTTGTTGAGTGAAGCCCTAAAGTTGTTAAAGGGCTCGTGTTGTGCTTAAACAAACGTGTGTGCTGCAGCTGCCAAAAAAGCCAACACAGTTCTAGGCTGCATCAACAGAGGGATAGAATCAGGATCACGTGAAGTGTTAATACCACTTTACAAGGCCTTGGTAAGGCCACACTGGGAATCCTGCATCCAGTTTTGGTCACCACGATGTAAAAAAAGATGTTGAGGCTCTAGAAAGAGTGCAGAGAAGAGCAACCAAGACGATTAGGGGACTGGAGGCTAAAACATATGAAGGACGGTTGCAGGAATTGGGTAGGTCTAGTTTGATGAAAAGAAGGACCAGGGGAGACATGATAGCAATGTTCCAATATCTCAGGGGCTGCCCCAAAGAAGAGGGAGTCAAGCTATTCTCCAAAGC